TAATATTTCTAAGAGCTTAGGATTTATTATTTTTATTCTCTACTTAATTAATTAGAATAGTTTCTTATTATCTAGTTTTAGAGCTTTTATTAGTTCTTTAGTAGCTTTATTAGATAATTATAAAATTATAAACTGAATTTTCCTAGAGAATTAAATAGCTATATTCTCTAGCTTTTCTATATATTCTACTATTATCTTATTCAGAAGATTTCTAACTAGATTCTCTATTAAAGATTCTAATTTAATTAAGTTATCTAAGTAGATCTCTAGCTTCTTACTTCTAATTTCCTTAATAATCTTTTAAATAACTTTCTCTTTATCTTATAATAATAATTTATTAATAAATCCTTAGATAAAGATAGGAACTTATTATTATATAGTATTTTTCTCTTTCTATTAGTTCTTAAAGAGCTTATTATTATTTAATCTAGTAGTTCTTATAGTTCTAACTAAATTAGTTCTCTATCTTTTCCCTTTAAGAGAGAATATCTAGATAGTTCCTTTTTCTTTAAATATTTAATTCTTATTAGATCTCTAAGATATATTAGTATTATTAATAATAGATAATCAGAATATAGAAATAGAATTAATATTAATATATCTTAGTAAGATATTTATTTTTCTATATTTATTAGGATTAATCTATATTAATAGATCCTAATCTAATATATTATTTAGATAATATATAATCTCCTTCTCTTCTTTAAAAATCTTAATCTATCTCTTTATATATAATAATTCCTATTTAATTAAATTATTAATAATCTTCTAGAAATTAGAATTATACTTAGAAAACTATTTTACTTAAAAGATTATAAGATATCTTATATATAATTACTACTAGAAGAAAGTAATAATTCTAAAAGATATAAACTCTTTTTTCTTTCTAAGTAGTAAGAATTATACTTTACTATTATAATAATACTAATTATTTATTTAACTATTTATCTTAAGTTCCTAATAGTTTTAAGAATAATATCTTTAGATACTATAGTATTAGTAGTTCCTTTAGGGGCCTTATAAGGAGTAAGTAGTATTAATAGAAATATTATAAGTTTAATTAAATACTTCTCTATTATCTACTTCTTTTAGAGTAAATAAGTTTAGTCTAAGTATAATCCTATCTCTCTTTAGATTTAATTTTATATTCTCTTCCTTAAGAAAGTAAAAATTACTAATAAGAAATATAAGTATTTCCTATATTTAGATCTAGCTTATTCTTATTTCTTTAAACTTAAGTCTTATCTTTTCTATCTCTAATTCTTCTTTCTTCTACTATACTAACTATATAATCTCTCTTTAAAAATTTTAAAAACTAATTCTCTTCTCTATCTTTAAGGATTTTACTTTCTCCTCCTTCTTCTTCTACTTTTATAAGTAATTTATAAAGTTAATTTAATTAATTCTATTAGCTCTAATTTCTCTAAATACTCTAGAGAATTAGTTACTTCTTAGCTTACTAATACTAAGATAATACTCTTAAACTATAAACTTATTATTAATTCTATTATTAGTATAATTAAAATTATAATTTATAATTAGAAAGTATTAATATATAGCTTTATTAATTATTATCTAGAGTTTTTTATATTCTATTCTCTTAAGCTCTTTATATATTTTCTTTTCCTTATAGATAATATTAAAGATAAGATTAGATAGTAGAGCTCTAAGTAAGTATTATAACTAAATTATATTAATATTCTATTTAGTAGGGTTAATTTTCTAATAAAAAAGCTAATAAATATTAATAAAAATAGTAATCTACTATTAATTAAATATAATTACTATAGTATTAAGTCTTTATAGCTTTTCTTTAGATTAAATAAGCTATTTAGAGTTATAGTTATAGTATTATTATTTAAGTATTTAAACTACTTTAGACTAATAGTTCTAACTCTTAAGAATAATCTTAACTCTCTATTTCTTTTTCTTAATAATATAGAAAAGAAAAAGCTTCTTTTTTATAGTAGAGTTAATATTAGGATTTCTAAACTTAATAAACTTCTTAAAGCTATTTAGAAAGAAAGTAATTCTATAACTATTAAATTCCTTAGTTATCTATAGATTAATTCTATTTTTTATAAAATAAAGTAGATCTTTTAGTTTAATAACTAGATCTAATCCCTTTAGATTAATAGCTACTTTATTATTTAGTATAATTTTATTATTAGCTATTTTATTAATTTAAAAGGCTTTAATAAAATAGTTTATACTAGATTTTATAGTATTAATTTTAAATATTTCTTTTTTTCTTTCTAATAGTTCTTCCTAAGCAGAATATAAGAAGTAAGATTATAATAATATCTATACTTTTTATAAAAAGTAATCCTTAGATTAAATAGAAAGTTCTATAGAGTTATATAAAACTAGTTAATCTAATAGTCTAAACTATTCTAATAACTCTATAAGCTTATTCTCTTTCCTTAGATCTAATAACTTCCTAAACTCTAATATAAAATTAAGAATCTAATTTTTATTATAAATTACTTTTTAGTTTTCCTTTATACTAATTTAATAAGTAGAACTTAAGAGATTTAATTAAATTAGAAATTTAATAAGAAGAAAAATTAGTTTATTTTTCTTTCTTTTTTCTATATAGAAAAAAAAGAATCTTTAGCTATTAGTACTTATTATACTACTTTTAAATTTTCTTTTTAAATTATAAAGCTCTACTAAACTTCCTTCTAGTAGTTCTAAGTAATATTAATAATCTAGAACTCTTACTCTTATTAAATAGTTCTTACTAAATAATCTAATAGAACTAGAGCTAGAGTAGTTCTAATAGAAATCTCTAGCTTTTAAAAGAAGAGTCTTAATTATATTATAATCTATACTTTTAAATCCTTAGTATTAAATAATATCTTAGAAAGTACTTTCTACTTCTAGAACTATAAGAGAATAATTTCTTTTTAGATCTATTAGTATTATATTACTCTTAAGAAGGGTTTAATTAACTAATTATAATCTCTATAAGTAACTATATATTTATCCTTCTACTAATTTTATCTTTAGATATTAGAATTAGAGTTTTTAAAGCTCTAGTTTTAATTAGATTCTAACTACTTATAAGTAGATAATATCTGAGTATAAGTAATAAGGGTTTTTTCTATAGATTAGTAATTTCTAGAATATCTCCTTATAGTTAAGAGGAAGATTTATAGATAAAAGATAGATAATTAGAAATTCCTACTAGATATATTTAGATTCTTCTTACTCTAGTAGTATAAAAGTACCTTCTTTTTAAAGTAAAATTATCTAAAAGACTAAATAGTAATTAATTAATTAGAATTTCTTACTTTAAGGATTAGATCTAGATAAAACTACTATATAAGTACTAGTAGAATTTTCTAATTAATAATACTATAACTAAAGACTAGATAGATCTATAGTTATAATATTAATATTAGTTAAAGGAGAGAAATTATAATTAAGCTATATAGTTAAAGCTAATAATTATAATTAATTATATATATATTTAGTATTTAGTTAGGGACTTCTATATTTAATTAATTAAATAAGACTATCTAGATTATTATATAAGCTAAACTAGCTATAGAATAATAAGTTAAAGATTATAATTTTAAAAATAAAGAATAATTTAAAAGTAAAGATAGTTTTTTATTTTTAGAGTAGTAAATAATTTACTACTTAAATAGTATATAGTAAATTACCCTAACTAACTATAGAAATTATATATACTCTTAGTATATAGTTTAAGTATATTAAATCTTAAATCTTAGCTTATTAAAATAGCTCTCTAATCTCTATACTAGCTATAGTAGATTAATTTATAAAGAAAATAATTATAATAATATACTAGATAGCTCTTTTATATACTAAGATCTATAATCTTTATATAGTAAATAAGATACTAAGTAAGTACTAAAGAGCTAAAAAAAGCTATATATAGCTTAGAGGGTCTCTAACTATATAGAATAGAATAGATCTATTAGACTAGAAGGATATAGATAAGTAGCTAAAAGGGGAAGATTATAAAAGTAGTAGTTAGAGAGAGTAGGCTTATATAAAGACTCTATAATATAGTAATTATAGAAAGTCTGATTATAATATCTAAACCTATAGGGAGACTAAAGAGAAGTCTAATAAATTAATTTCTAGTATTATTATTATAGATAATTAGCTATTATTATTTTAATTAACTTTATTATACGAGGGATAGGTAGAAGTAATCAGCTTACTTATATAATCAGCTCACTTGTGGATTATATTAAATATAAACTATTTGATTAAATGAGAATATACATATAACTCAAAACCTCCTTTTTATAGCTGTTGTGGAAGGTTGTTAGATTTTGGTGTGGTTGGCAGTCTGCATTTCAAGCTTGCTAACGGCTGTGGTGTTGTTCGTTTTTCCCCCAACACACTATAATATATGCACGTGTCTATGTTTGTATTTTTACATCCCTATGTAGCCTAGAATTCGAAGGACGCTTGCGATTGTACTAAATGATGCATATCTGAAATTTGTAGGATACTGGAGATTCTAGTAATTTATATAGTGAGGTGCTTCATAATCTCGAATCGAATTAAGCAAAAGCGGCCATGGAATATCTTGTTTGCTGGGCAGAGAGTAATGGATTTCAATAATAAACTGTCAACATTGGGACGGAGTTCATTCCTGTGCTATTAGGAATGAGAACTTGGCATTTCCTGTCCGGCCCCACTAGAGAGATTGTTCTAAACAGATTAGCCTGGACCTACGAGGTCGCGAGTCAGAAAACGCGATTCGACTCCCCACGTCCACCCCCATTCATCGTTTCCCGGATGGTGCAATTACCGAAAACACGACCGGGCTCCAGCGCTAGAAAACTGCACATGGATACCCCCCAGAATTACGGAAACGAACCTCAGGCTCTTCTGTTAAGGAAACGAGATCACAGTACTTCGGTACGTATATGTTATAAGCATTTCTTGTCGCATTGCTATGCTTATTGCTAATCCATACAGGCATCCCACAGTTTGACTCTCTTCACATCAAAATGACCGCGGATTCATCACTGTCTTTCGATGAGTTCTCCAATATTATCAATGGAGAACTACGCAAAACCAAAGAAACTCGTTACTCCATCAACCCTTCAACACTTGAACATAATCCCCCAGTCCCTGTATCATCCTCGAATGATGTCGACGAGGCTGTGGTTCATGCAAGGAATGCTTTCAAGACCTGGAGCAAAATACCTCTTTCTGCGCGGCAAGACGCTGTTATTGCCCTCGCTGCAGGCCTTCAATCACTAAAAAGCGACTTTGCCCGCCTGCTCGTCAGAGAGCAAGGCAAGCCAGTAAGCGAACCATCCTCTTTATATGAACAAGCTAAAACAGGGATTGAAGAATTTCCAATTGCTGACTAGTTGGGTAAATAGCTCTGGGCTGCCGAAAACGAAATCGATGCCGCCTGCCACTGGTTGAAAGTCCAAGCTGAGCTTCCCTTTTCCGAAGACGTCATACTAGAAACGGACCAGAGAATCATAAAGACTAGATTTACCCCGCTTGGTACGACCCTCGTTGTTATTTCGGTGTCCAGAAATACTGACAGTCAAGTAGGCGTTGCTGCTGCCCTTGTGCCGTGGAACTGTGAGCTTAATTATATATTTTACCCTTGAATGCGATCAACTGACTCAACTACTAATCTTCATAGTTCCTGTAATGCTGGGTAAGTAATTGTTGAGAGGGGGAGCTATTATGTTGAGCTAATGTTTTAGTAGCGTGCGGCAAGATTGCTCCTGCTTTGGTAACAGGAAATACCCTCATTGTGAAGCCATCGTAAGTACCAGCCAAGTCATCAAGTGAGTAATTCGCAATTGCTAACGAATTTGATAGGCCATTTACTCCATACTGCGATCTGAAACTCGTGGAGCTCGCGCAGCGCTTCTTCCCACCTGGCGTACTCCAATGCCTAAGCGGAGACGACAACCTTGGTCCATGGCTAACGACACATGGAGGGATCAACAAAGTCAGCTTCACCGGATCGACAGCAACTGGGAGGCTAGTAATGCAGAGTTGCGCAAATACCCTCAAACGAGTAACGCTAGAGCTGTAAGTGAGCACTTGAGACTGTAAATGCATTTCTAATCATGCCACAGAGGAGGGAATGATGCTGCCATTATATGTGAAGATGTTGACATAAGAGATACTGCTAAAAAGGTACTATTTCGGAATTGACACCAGTATATAATGTATGATAGCTGATATTTTCACTAAATAGGTGGCTGAGCTCGCCTTCTCAAACTCGGGTCAGGTGAGCGGTCCAAAGTCTAGTTCTCAAGCACACAGACTCACCACGAGACCTAGGTTTGCGTTGCTATCAAACGAGCCTATGTCCATTCATCGATTTACGACGAGTTTCTTAAGAATATGGTAGATATAACGACGTCTATGGGCGTCGGAGACGGTCTCACGGACAATCTTTCTCTTGGACCACTTCAGAATGCGATGCAATATGACCGAGTCATGGACCTTTTGAGAGATATCAAGACTTCAGGGCTAGATATACCTACTGGAGAGCGAGCTTCCGGAGATCCCAAAGGCAAGGGTTACTTCATCCGACCAATAATCGTGAACAATCCTCCTCAAAGCTCTCGCATCGTCAGAGAGGAACCATTTGGTAAGACTTATGCGACAAACTATAAAGTCTACACAATGTGCCAAAGGGGACTAATAAATGATTACAGGCCCAGTTATTCCGTTACTTAAATGGGACACGGAGGAACAGGTTCTCAGCTATGCGAACGATTCCGACATGGGCTTGAGCGCGTCGGTGTGGACTCGAGACACTGCTCGGGCAGAACGCATCGCGCTCCAACTTGAAGCTGGGACAGTCTGGGTCAATAGTCATCTTGAACTTCGCCCTGATGCTGCCTTTGGTGGTCATAAGCAAAGTGGACTCGGAGCAGAATGGGGCCAGGAGGGACTAAAGAGCTATTGCAACACGCAGACCTTGTTCTTGGACAAGAAATAGGCTTCATTAAATTTGATTTAAGCTCGGCACGCATTATAATTCGAGAGTCTACTGCAGCTTGAATCTATAATTATACATGAGCAATGGTGAACAAGATAGAACAGATATTTGAACGATAAGAGATATGGCGGAGGTTTGTATAAACTGCCAAGTAAATTTTCATATTCAACTATACCTGGCAAAAACAACTGACATTAATTGAAGCGCACGGTAAAGGCTCTATAGCCGGATGCCAAGGAAAAGAAACGCTGATTATCATGTTTCAGTAAGGGCATGGAGATGTGAATCAGTGTGGTACAATGCCAGTTTTAATTCAAAACTACTAACAAAACTGTCCAGGACGAAGGGTAATGTATATAATTAAAGCTAATATACCAGCATTCACCGAAGATCTAAAACAATCCTGCCGTTAATTTTTCCACTTTTCATATCCTCAAAAACCTAGTAAATGATTAGTATCATAAGAATTCGGAGGCCAGGAGGTAGTACCTCGGTTAGGTCTTCCATAGGTCGCAGCTCATAATGAGTTTTGATCTTTCCAACCGCGGCAATATCTAGACATTCCTTCGCCTCCAGACGATTTCCGCTTTTAGAAGCTACAATAGTCATGGTAGATATATGTTAGCCTCCCTTCTGCCGCTTGCTTGCTATGTGACCTTGAATATATGGGCTTACCGAAGATGGTGAGCTCATTGGTAATCATATCTGGAACGTTCGCTCCTGCTATTGGTAAAGAATCACCTTCCGGGACGCCAAGGCATGCTAGGATACCCCGGAAACCGAGAAATGAGACGGCTTGTGCATATGCTCGGTGACTCGAAGAGCAGACAAGTACCACTTTAGCACCACCTCCAGTCAGTTTATGAATTTCTTTAGCAAGCGCGTCATCAGTGGCGAAACCGGCAAAGTCTATGAATATATCAGACCCAAGCTCGAGACATAGACGCTCTTTTGCCGCGACGTCTAGGGATATTATGCGACCCCCCATCGCCTTGGCGTATTGAATGGCAAGGTGGCCCAAGCCACCACCCGCGCCTGAAATCACAACCCATTGCCCGTGGCGGACATGAGCTCTTTTGAGAGCTGAATATACAGAGACTCCGCCACACATGAGTGGTGCTGCGCCCGCAAGGTCGATTCCATCTGGAATTAACGTCACGTTGGATGCTTGGCTCAAGCAGTATTGTTGGAATGTGCCAGGTGTGAGATAGCCGGATACCGTGCCCGTTATGCATGTTGTTTCGCCTCCTTCGAGGCAATTGTCTAACCAATGAAAATAAGCACGTCATTAGAGATATAACATCAAAGTGCATAGCATACAGCATAGAGGAGTCCTCCGGATAGATAATGAACCACTAGCGGGACTTACCACAACTGAGACACGCGCTAGCTGCCCATTTGATGCCCACCATGGTGCCAATTTGAGGGAATGAAACACCATCACCTTGAGCGACGACTTTCCCAACGCCTATTGAGCAATTAATCAGCACACTCGTCTCGGGATTGAACTTTTTGCGGATTATGGTCACCTTCATGCCCGCCGATTTGCCCTACAAGGACAAGTTCTGGAGGTTAGCATTGCTACTACCTACTCGCCCTAGTCAGGAATACCGGGACGATCTTACCCTGCGGGGTTGGTAAAGGAAGCGTTGAAAAACCATTAGTGCATATCCCGTAGTCGGTATGGCAAACGCCGGAGTAGAACCTAGCACACGAACATTCAGTACTCTCTTTGGGCTGCAGAGCGGTGAGTAAGATAACGTACAGGCGGACCAACACTTCACCCGAGCCCGGCTTAGGAATTGGTAGTTCTTCCACGCGAGTTGTAATCTCTGGTGGGTTTGCATATATCACAGCACGGTTCTTTGCTTCTGAATCGGTTGACATGGTGTTCAGTCTTAGTGGAGGACAGGGCTTTTGAATGTTGTTTAGAAAAGAGATTTTGGATTCCCGGATCTTCTTCTCGTTAATTATAAATTGGTTCTTCTCATTGATTAAAAATTGACTGAGAGGTAACCTGCGATTCATTATCTATGTTTTCAGGGCTAGGCGTGTAGCAGAGGCTAAGTTCAGCTAGTGGGTTATTGGCAAACGAGCCGAAGCGAGTCAGAAAATGCGACTCGAATCGGATAAAGACCCCGCCTCTAGTGCATCTTAAGTTGTCTCTGCTCGCGGTTATCTACATGAAAAGCAAAACCGAGGCTAAGCCGCTCAAACCTTCAGCCTCACAAATGTAGTGTGCAACACAGTTTACAGAAGTCTGCAGCGGCTTTGAATGAACATGGGCTATGACTATAATCCAATCTGTCCACTAACGGCGATCGCGCCAAGATATTGTTGGTAAATTGCTAACTACCCTAGAGGCAGAAAGTGACGAGATCGCAGCGTTAGTTAGCGAGACTTTGCTAAAAAGAAAAAAAAAACATATTGAATATATAAGGAAGAGGAAGTTTAAATTTCTGTCTGTTTATCCATTTTGGTTTGCTACTGTATTATTCCAAGTCTAGGTACAGGCACAAGGGTCAAGATGTCTACCATCGAACTTTTGGATCAAACACCTTACACATAGATTGAACCACCACGAAAGCTTCAGTCTAGGAGGAATTGAAATACAAAGTTGCAAAACTGTAAGCTTAGTCTTTGTGTTTATATATCGGATCTGACATCTTCTATTACTTTTTTTCAACTTTATATTCAAACTCTCTTACAGCAAAGCAAAACTATGAACAACACTATCTCACTACCCCCCTTTCGTCCTTGAAAACCTTTGATGCGTCGAGCCCAAAGCACGACCGAACCATATCGCCAAACCGTCAGATGGCCACTTGAATCTTGTCAGGCGACGCTGTTGCATACGTGGTCCGGAAGAATAGAGTATCATGTTCCTCGTCCTTGTTGGTGTAAAACTTGACTGCCTTTAATTACAAGGGCGCGGTGCTCAATGCTGGCTGTGTGCATCTCGTACTCCGGCTCAGAGATGGACTTAGACAAGGCATGTGAGTGGTTCCCCAAATCACTTTGCGGCCAATGCTATAAAGACGGGGGTTTAGTTGTCGGTATATTCGCATTATTTGAGATATCTGTGTTCCACTTACTGACATGCCAGCGGCCGGTGGCGCCCAACTAACTACCTTCTTGACTCGTATTTACGCATTTGCATCCACTGGTCTGGCACTTACTTGGATCCAACATGCACAAGGTTCTGCCCCAGAACTATGCTCCCGACACCATCTATGGAACAGCCCTAGCAGCCGAGGATGGAAATCATTTCTTGGCCAGGGACTCCAGTCATTTACTTGATGAGAATAATGCCAATTCTCCTACAGCAGATTTTGGCAATCACTTTTCTGGGATCTGAGGCCTGTTCTGCTTAGACCAGGATCCAGAGTCAGGATCCAACATCACCACTGCTAATGCTATATGAAAAAAAAATAGTGAAAAAGTTTTAGTGATTTATGACCATATATTAAGTGGATACAAAAGTGAATCATTAGAGTTTATTAGTCTACTAGCCTTATTTTTTCAATTACGCGAGTTTTTCCGGACCGAGCGCCTTCACAGTGGGACTGAGACGAATATCGAGATGCAATGAGAGGCTTGTAGAATCATTAGCAGGACGTAGGAAATCGCACAGGCACCTTCAGTGTTGACTGCCAACCGGCTCACTAGACTTGTTTTGTCCTCCGACTCCTGGCTGACTCCCTTCCGCCAACGGGCTTATTGCTTTGGGAACCAACAAGGTGATTCATCAACTCAACAATACAATGGATCAAACTGTCACACAATATCACGGTCTCAACCGCAACCAGGAGAAAAGTCACAGTAGCCCAATGACGGCTTGCGCCGTTTCAAGTTCGCGCCGTGGACAAAGACCAGTCCTGAAGGAGTTTATCCCAAATTGACAAAACGATCCCGCTGGGGTCAGTCAACGAACCCTCGAGGCGATGATGAACAAGACTTTCTTTATGAATAACTCCAACTGTTATCGTCACCTACTTGTTGGGCCTAGATTAGCCGGCCCCACTACCGTAGGTAGGCCAAGCAGCACAACAGTTGACTCGGTATATCGCATGTACAATAATCCGAATCAACATACCCCAACCGACGGAGAAATCCAGCACCAAGCCAGATGGAGATATTACTCGAAAGGTATCTAGGAAAGGTATCTAGGCCCTCCCACACCCGACTCACGAGAAATTGACTAATTTTAATTCGATGCTCATACTGTGAATAGTGATGACCCGTGGAACCAGACGGCTGTCGATAATAAGCAATGGCTACAGCGTTTCAAGCGCGATGTTGGCATCACATCATGACAGAGCTACAAAGACTGTTGTTCTGCATACCTGATAATTGAAATTACTCTTTCATGGAATTGGATAAGACTGTTGCACGCTAGCACAGAACCAGTGTATCTAACTACGAGATCTGCGTGCGTATAGCCTTAGGCTCGTGCGGATGAGAGAGTTTGAGCCAAAAGTTAAGAACAGCAAAGAAGGATACCAGACACGAAATCTCAACACAATGAATGCGAGAGCCGTCTCAAATACACAGCCATCCTTAGCTCGTCCCTGGAGCCTGGTCCCTATGAGTCGGCTGCCGCGAGGTCCGTATCAACCCCGCTAAGTTGGGCCACGGCAAATCTGTGCTGAGTGCGACTCTGAATGGACAAGTTGACAGGCGGTAGTGCTTGTCAGCCAAACCAGTCACCCGCAGAAGATACCAGTAACTCTGTAGCCTAACCAAGGAGATGCATTGCATGATACCTGATGACGAGTATGTCTGTAGTCTCTGGCGTTCAACTATGCCCGATAGTTTTGCATTTATTATGTTAGATATCGGATTCTGGCATCTTCCATTTTCACAGTCTGCAAATATTGGAAAAAGTTAATCATCTATCAGACTTTGCTAACCACCTACTATATTCATAGTATAACTCTATAAGATAGTTGATAGCGGAAATTCCCTTGGTAAATGAACCGGGCTATATCAGGAGACTTCAATTATACTATTATAATATAGAATCTAGCTATAGATGAATTTGAAAACTATTTATAAGGGTAAAGAGATTTCAGTAGTCTAAATATCAGATATTTTTAAGAGTGTTTAATTTATAGCTAATTATATAAAGAATCAGGCTATTTTAATATACTCTTAGATACTTTCTTAAGTTATAATTTCTTTTATTGAATATTTACAAAGAAGCTATATTTAGTATTATTCTTATGATTAGAAAGTATTAAGAGTATCTATATTCTGATCAATTATATAGCTTATAGAGCTTTTATATTGAAAATGCGACCGAAAGGCGTTTCCCCCGGCATTGTCACGCCTGGAATTTTGGACGATGCAAACAAGATAAATTCAGAGCCAATCCAACACGCAGTCTGATACGCCTTTGGAAGCTTGTCCAAAGGGCAAACCGTCCGACTTTCTACTCTCCAGATTACCAACCCTTAAACGAGGATTCTGATTCACTATTGACACAATTTGTTTCGAATAAAATGCTCTCATCGTTAATCGATGGCATATCCAGGGGCTTCCGAAATTTAAAGCGATGCGAAGATCTTGAAAATAAATCGGCTTTATGTGCCCGTCTACTTAATGTGAAGTCGCAAGCTAAGCTCTTCGCCCTTTCTATGTAGGTACATCTATTCAACCGCTCTATCGACTTATTGCTGCTTAATCTGATCATAGAGCCCCGCAGAAAATGATCGGCAATTCGACCCTGACACACAGGGAATTTGAGCGAGCCTGGTATAACTGTCCCCTTGGGCTGCAAAAACTTCCTCGGCCTTCTTTTTCGTATCAACAGTAGGATCAACCTTGCCCCACATTTCGTAAGTGTACTTGTTTGGGTCTTCAAAGGGGTTGTTATCCGCTCGATATTCCTTGTCAACCTTTAGCTTACTCTTTGACGGGTCTTCTTTATCGTAGGTAACTTCGGAGAATTTCATATCAGGAACGTCGTGCGTGAGTTGGTTCTCGACTGGATCATATGTGGTCTTGTAGGTCCCGTGAACGAGACGTCGGTGGCACTCGATATTCTTCCGGGTATCTTCACAAAACGCGTATTTTTGGTCCTCTTCTAGCTTCATGTCTCCAGCCGCTTTCTTGAGGACGTCAAAGGTGCCTGTTGTTATGTCTTTCGGTTTACCACGCCCCCCCCACGGCCCCACGTCCTGCCCATTGTTCTCGGGACTGGCCGGTTCCTGGCATGATGAATGCGATGATTGAATCCCGCCACGTTTCAAATTACAGACAGGGCTGGTAGCAGTGTCTTCAGTTGGTGGAGATTTATCCTTGGAAGCAGCTTTGCCGTTGGCTGGAGTCTTATCAATGGAAGCAGCTTTGCCGTTGGTGACAACCTTTCCGTTGCCACTAGCCCTTCCCTTAGCGGGTCGTTTTCCTTTCGCATGGATATTTCCCTTGGTGCCTGTCTTTCCCTTGAAACTAGTGTTGCCTTTGCTGCGAGTATTCCCCGTGGAGGTAACTTTTTCCTTGGCAATAGCTTTGCCCTTGCTTCGAGCCCTACCCTTCGAAACAGTCTTTGATTTAGCAGTAGCTTTGTTCTTACTGTGAGTATTTCCTATGGAAGTAACCCTTCCCTTTGTAGTAGGTTTTCCTTTAGTAATAATATTTCCCTTAGATGAAGTCTTGCCCTTACTGTGAGTATTCCCTATAGAGGTACCTTTTCCCTTAGCAGTAGCTTTGCCCTTACTCTGAGGCTTTCCTTTCGAAGGAGCTTTTCCTTAAGTAACAGTCTTACCCTTACTGTTCTTTCCCTTGTGAATATTCTTGCCCTTGCCCTAAGCCTTTCCCTTAGAATGAGCTTTTCTACTAGCGGTAATATTGCCTTTTGAAGTCGGGTTTCCCTTTGTTCTTATAGGAGAAACCTTGCCCTTAGTTCCCTTAAGGGCGGTCTTGTCTTTAAGGGAGGACTTTCCTTTAACTAGAGCCTGCTTAGAAGGCTTCTTAATTAGAGGCTTTGAGGTAAGCATTTTAGTAGTATTCTTCTTAGAGGCAGGCCTTTTGGAGGTGGAATTCTTGGAGGAAGGATTTTTGAAGGCAGTCTTATTTGGAACAGCTTTCTGTGGGATAGCCTTCTTTGTACCAGGCTTCTTAAAGATATTAGAAGACTTCTTAAAGGCAGCCTTCTTCAGGGCAGTATTATTTAGAACAGGCTTCTTTAGGATAGCAGTAGGGTTCTTTAGATAAGCCTTTTTTAGGATAGCTTTCTTTAGTATAGTAGCAGGCTTCTTGGTAGCAGGCTTCTTGGTAGTAGGCTTCTTGGTAGCAGGCTTCTTGGTCGGAGGCTTCTTAGTAGCAGGTTTCTTAGTCGGAGGCTTCTTGGTAGCAGGCTTCTTGGTCGGAGGCTTCTTAGTAGCAGGTTTCTTGGTAGCAGGCTTCTTGGTAGCAGGCTTCTTGGTAGCAGGCTTCTTAGTAGCAGGCTTCTTAGTAGTAGGCTTCTTAGTAGTAGGCTTCTTGGTCGGAGGCTTCTTAGTTGGAGGCTTCTTGGTAGCAGGCTTCTTGGTAGCAGGCTTCTTGGTCAGAGGCTTTATGGTAGGCTTCTTGGTTGGAGGCTTTAAGGCAGGCTTCTTTGAGGCTAGCTTTTTTGGAGCTCCCTTTTCTTTTGCAGTAGAACGCTTTATGGTATAATTACGGAGGTCTAGTTGAGGGGGTAGTTAATAGGGAAAGTTAGTCTGAGACCGAGTATTAAGATATATAATGCTTTAGTAGTATATTAATAACTCCGGTTGTCTTTTTCCGAAATTATTATGAATAACCTCCTGCCTGGAGGCAGAACGAGGTGTATAGATTGTATTGTATATGTAAAGGCTTTTAAGGGTTTCCTCTGCTAAAGTGAATACTGATGTGAAAAGGTGAAGAAGGAGATACAGTCTTATAATTATAATAGCCTATTAAAGAGATAGAAGCTTGGCGGTGAAGTATAGGTTTATATATAGTAGTGGGAATTATAAGATTAAAAATATAACGGCGGAAGAAGAAAGAAAGAAGGTAGAGAAATAGAAGAAAGTTTTTTTTATAAGCAGAATTTTTAAGAACAGGCCGGGTTTAATTAGATAGGAATTAAAGATAATATATTTTCTTAGCTAACTGGTTGAAGAATATATACGATATATAGCAGTCTAAAATTAAATATACCTATAGCCTGCTTATATACTAGTGGGTATATTTTAGCTCTTTTTGGTATAATAAGATGCTGGATTTTCCCTACTTCCAGAGCTCTAAGCTCAAACAGAGAGAAGTATATATATCTTATAACCAATAAGATACAGTTGGTTCTAAGTTGCAGTCAGCGCAGGGATATAGGTCTTCGGGGTTTCTATTTTTAGTATATTACCGTACAGGGTATAACCAAAGAACCTTAATGTAGCCTGAGCGCACGCTGCAGCCTAAAGTAAGAATATATTACTAAATCACTATCACCCAACATTTTTCACGCCAAAGACATTCTCCTTCATTCATTCATCCATCAAGACTGAAAATAATACGATCACAAACACATTTTACGCCCTCATATCAAAATTAAATGACTTAAGGCTGCTAACAACATTATCCGCCATAATGCAACGTATTAAAAGCTTCCTCTATGAATGCGTGAGTTTCGTCGCGTTTCTGACCAGTCCCTACATCGCGGGGAATACTCCCGAATTTGAAGCAGACCGAGAAAAATGGCGAAAGGCTTGCACCCAAGGTTAGTAGAAAACCCCAACTTGGCCCTCCAATGAAATATCACCTCATGAATATCATTAAAACTGATTATGTTTTCGTTGATATACAGACTCAGTGCTGGCAGACTTCACTAAATATCTCCAACATGGCCATACTTATCCAGGGCGAGTATTGAACAAGACAGAGAGTGAGACCTTGGAAAAAATATTTTCTGACTATTCTAAGTCGGATAATTGTGAGCTTCTTCTTATATGCTGCTACCTCGAGCCTTCGAGGGCTCTCGAAAATACATTTACTAACTTTTTAATATAGGCTGGGATCAAGAATCGCTAGAATCGTACCTTCTTACTCAGCTCCCTCAAGAGGGAGATTATAAAATGCTTTTGAGGAATTGTATGCCATCTCTCTGGGACCTAACTGTCTATTTCGCTCAATGGCCTTTCAATACCTCATCCAGCTTGACAACTCGCTTGACGTTCCCCGCCTTTGTTCGCGCCATCGCCTTCCTCTGTGGCAGGCACAATAGGATGTTTGTGAACTGGGAAGGCCACGATCAAGTTTTCAATCGCAGCACAGATCAGATAGTACTGGAATACATCTTCCGGGCTTTGGCTACTACCCGACCACCAGAGCACCAACCAAGATCAGCTCCGCCTTCTCAAGAAACCGCCACATTGTCATCCCATCGCGATGTCCTCGACATTTTGAGTGTATCTCAACCATTTCTAAACCACAGAACAGAAAATCTCACTCGAGCGGAGCTGATTCCTACAGCTGATCGGTTATCTCCACCAACTCCCCCTGAATTATCAGAGCTTATCATCCCAGCTACTGGCGAAAGGCTTCGAGAGGTTCTAGAACTCATTATTCCGCTTCTTCAGCACGCTAGTCAATTCGAAAGCCATAATGCCTGCTTTGCATGGCTCAAAGAGCAGCTAGAGGCTGCTCGAACGAAACTAGAGAAGCAAGAGGAAGTAACATTTGATGTCTTTCAGGAATGTCTTGATTGTGAGGAGTGGATGAAGAGGTACCGCAAGGATATTAATTTAATGTACGATGGTATTGCTCTTTTGTTCAACACATTCCCAAATCCCCAAAGCCTGACAACTGGGAAAACGGCAGATTTTCTATGGGCAACCGAGGAGAATCTATGCTTAGATGCATTGAGACAATTGGGACTCAGGGCTGCTAGAAAGAGCGATATCTAACGGTATCTAGGCATATAGTGGTGCGCATTTCATCTTTCTTCCCTCAACTGAGAACTTGCCAAAAAGGGTAGGCAACTGAAGGGGGGCAATTATCAATCCAGACACAAGGCTTCATCTTACAACTAGTGCGATGCGAGTCGTAGGACCTGCAATCAATAGTTTTTACTCGTAAATGGATAGGCTTAAATATCACGCAGCTGACGCAGTTCATTGCATATTCAAACGGTGGTTTACTACTCAGACTAAAAACATCTGTTACCGAACGGTAATGCATGGCAGCATGCGTCCCTCATCCACTCTTTGTTGAAAAAAGACAAGAAAACTTATCAAGCAAATCGAGGTTTGGGTGTTGGAATAACCATAAAATCTCATTTGAATTGGCGCCGATCATCACGTATCCCTGAGCACGGTACCGTATTCCATATTATAGAGCATAGCCCCTGTAGTGATAATTAGTGCTCTGGAGTATTTCCGCTTCTCCTACCACAACATCACTGTCCGGGGGAGAACATTTGATCTAAATACGCTGTGTGAAGAGTGCTAAAGCAGTAGATGGTGGAATATCAAAGCTCTTGGTGGATTCCCCCGCGATATATTCTGGAAAGAATCTCGAACTGTTCTCTGCGAACTAATAGTTGAGCGTCGAGCCAGAACCGGAGAGAACAACGCCCTTTGTGAACGAGAACTCAACACCAATATTGCCTTTGATCTCCCGCTTCTCCTTGTTGACAACACATCGGATGTTCTCTTCACGGAAAACTGTCGTGTCGGTGCGATTCACCCACACATTCTGCATACCAGGGAATATACTTGGTAATGGTGACAAAGGGACTGGGGATGTTTTCTGAGCTAGCCTCGTTATTCGGGCTGATGAAGCAGTGGAAAGGTAGTGTTAGACTGCACTGCGGCTGATAATAAAATCGTTCTCCCTTCTCCGGAAGCTGATTTGCTTCCATCGAAGGGACATCGGATTTGAATCGACGATAATCTTTGCTAACAGGAAGTTGCAAGACAGGCGCAGCCTCGTTGTCTGGGTGTTAATAGTTTCCCCGAGCTCGTAAAAACTCTCCCTGTATTGGCAAGTAGGCAGAGCCTTGAACACTAATGTGTGCAGGCTCGATTTCCCAAACGGAGACGTCCGACCTTGGCAACGAGGTCTTTTCGAACACACCAAATGTCCCCGGTGGAAGGCTTGTTCCACGAACTCTTACAAACATCTCCAAGGCTACATATCCATTGGGCGGAATTGGGCGCTAGAAGGCTCCGTCGTACTTACCGCCACTTCGTTTGTCTATCCAGACCAGGTTATAATCAACCGGTTGGGCAACTGCTGGTTTAGATGGGTTCGTGTTGGGGTTTTGTCCAACAAGACGTGATGCGCGTTTGCCACTAATCTCAAAGTATTGGCTTGGATCGGCGTAGTGGCCCAAGGGGCGGAGGCTTCCTCAGGAAACGAGTCCAGACACATATGTCTCATCTGGCGCCGCTTCCACGATCATCCCAGGACCATTCATAAGAATCCGTCATGGTGACCCTTAAATCTCCATAGTCATAGGTCTTGCTAGACATTAGTGCGGGCTTATGGATAGAAGGAAAAAGAATATATATTCTTTTCTGGTACTCTGTATCTCCTCCGAAAATACTGAAGTGTAAAGAAAAAATAACAAAGTGATAATTCAACTTGTAAAGCTTTGTAATGAAGTTGTTGGTTTAGCAGTATCTTGTCAGCCGATGCAATTTGGAGGGAAAAAAAGCATAAAATGTTCACATCCTCCAACAAAAGAACTCTAGCGACATCATCGACCATCCTCCATCTCTTGCCCAATCAGACCCCGACCAAGGTCCTTGATCTGCGCAAACATCCCGGTGAACGGTACATTCCTTCATTTGGCACCTTCTCTACTTGATCCCCCGGGAGGTGAAAGGTCCGTATCTAACAAGCCCAAGTAAAGCCATTGTCTCAGAATTGATCAAGTGATCATAAATCCTATACGAATCGCCAGGCCTGGGCCCGGTGTATGCTCTTCGGAACTGATCTGCATGACAGTGCATGAAAATAATATCCCGATACTTAATGCATTGAACCTGATCTGACATATCACATCAACGTACCCTCAAGTAGGCGGGTTGATTCAGGACCGGGCTGCTTATTTAGCATCTCACAAGCATGACACTGTATAACGCATCAGTCCAAGGTGTTTGCGGGGTATCAGGATATATCGGGGCGGATGACAATAGCACAGACCTATCTGCGTTATACAGGAGGTTTTAGGGTGATACATCTGCCAAGATTAGTATGATTCGTGACCTTGAAACAAGAACTTTTCGAGTCGCAAGTTGATCTCTGAGAATCACTTACTTCCTAATGTATGAGATATTGAAAACCCGTTATTGTCAAACAAGCTGTTCATCCCAAGACCTTCCACACACACCCTACCATAAGCTAACTGACACAACACCAGTCGGACTATTAACACAACTTGCATAATGATAGAGCATGGGCTGGGTGCTACATCGTTGCTTGTAATCACTGTCACTCTTTGATGCCGATGATAGCCCTCATAGTGGCCAATAAACGACATTCTGGAGCCACTGCCACAAGGCATTATATGCTACTGCAGATGTAAGCACACCAATACGGCACTCTTCATCTCACAGCGGGAGACGATAGTTAGAACTGATTCCGAGTCTCTTGGCTGGTTAGATAAAGGTGTGTTGGGGTAGAAGTCGCTAGTATTAGAGTGAGAACAGGCGTTAACACTTTCATCTCATCACTTTTGTGTCAACCAGAATGGATCTACGAAGAAAAAATTGAAAGTGTTCAGAATGTTATTGCCCATATGCGCTGGCATTTTCGCAATGGACCGTAACCCCTAAGTAGCCGTTCCTTTGCTAGGTAGCGAGTTGGGCTGATATTACATAGCATTCGACTTTGATTTCATAATAAATATCTTTGGAATATGATAATTAGTAAAATATCATTCCCTCTAACGAGCTATAGTTATTCTCAATTATGCCTTGTTATTCTTTTACGGTAGTATATGTATATGTGCTTTGAGATAACTGGTTAAATTTAAGCTATTCGGATCCGTTTAATTCCCCTTCCCAAAGCCGTCTTTGCGTTAGTAGTAGAGAAGTCCTCTGCGTTGGCGTCTTTCCAAGTCATGTTATTTTTGAATAATAAGTAGCAATTCTGTATTTAATAACGTAGTTTTTTGTAGGCTGCACGTTGTAGGTCGGATACTCTGATCATCTGTAAGCTATGATTTTATCTGAGCTTGGCTGAAAGACCACGCTCCTCCAAAACTTCTTTGAATGACTGGTCGAGTAAACCCAATCCCGCATCAATCTCCTCCTTGGTGACTGTGACAGGAGGAGCCAGACGGAACACGCCTCCCATTCCAGGTAAGTTAACGACATTGCAAGAGAGTCCCAGTTTCAAGGCGCGATCAGACACAGCCTGCCCTAATTCTGGGCCTGGAGCCTTCGTCTTAGCATCAGAAATGATCTCAATAGCCTGGAATAGACCACGACCTCGGACTTCTCCGATACACCAGTACTTTTCCTGCAGCTTGAGAAGACCGTCGCGGAGTTGTGCACCACGCTCAGCAGCCTTTTGTGGGATGTTGTCACGCTCAACAATCTCCAACACCTTGTCACCGACCGCAGCAGTCAACGGGTCGTTGAGGTGAGTGGTAAGCCATAGAAGCCCAGCTTGTCTGCAACCCCTCTCTATTTCCGCCGTTGTCGTGACTGATGCCAGAGGAAGACCACAACCAAGGGTCTTAGAGAGGCACAGAATATCTGGCACTAGCTCATCCTCCTCGAAGGCAAACATCTGTCCTGTGCGGCCTACACCAGTCTGTGCCTCATCCATAATGACAAGCATTCCGCGTTTCTTACACTCTTCGACCATGCGCTTCAAGTAACCGTTGGGAGGCACGAGAATACCGCCGGTAGACAGGATGGGTTCCATGATGAAGGCGGCAAGGGATCCAACACTTTGTCGGTCCACCATAGACCAGCCAAATTCGAGCTCGGTCTCCCAGTCATACGATCCATCCGCCTTACGGAATACGGACCGGTAAGGGTACGGGGCAGGGAAGGAGATTTGGCCTGGCATCACTGGGCCACCGTTCTTGCGACCTGCAGAGTATGTGGCGGAGCCTGATCCCTGAGTGAGGCCGTGGTAGCTGGCAGAGAAAGCGACAATTTCGAATTTTCCAGTATAGCACTTTGCCATTTTCAGGGCTGCTTCGGTCGATTCAGAGCCAGTGTTTAGGAAAAAAGACTTCTCCAAGTCTCCAGGGAGAAGTCTAGCTAAGCGTTGAGCAACGTCAACCACAGGAGGACTGATCATATTGCTGAGAAGATGGTCAAGCTCCCCAACATAGCGCTTGACCACCTCGACGACCTCGGGGTGAGAGTGGCCCAGGAGCGAGCTCATCTGCCCCGACGTGAAGTCGAGAATTTCGCGACCATCGGCGTCGTAAAGTTTGGTACCCTTGGCCTTGATGATGACGGCCGGGGAAAAGGGGACACCAGTGTACATCAGGTACTTGTCCGCATTGGACCAGAATTTGGCCAAAGCGCCGTTTGCCAACATCTCTGCACTGGTTAGAATTTGTTGAGGATAGAGATGTTGTAGTCGATTGCACTGATAGTGATGTTTATCTATATCTCACCGAGTCAACCATCAGTTGTTATTAAATACTTTTCTGAAATCCAGAAAATAGAGAGAGGATCGCATACAGTTTACCTAATCGTAGAGCGTGTACTGAGCTGGACTCGGTTGCGGTTCTCGAAGATATCCATCCCGCGGCCCCACAGGACGTTGCATCAGAGGGGCCGCGGCTGCACCAATTCATGCTTCCAAGACCAGTAACAAAAATGTTTGGGACTAGTCGCTAACTTGTTCCCACAAATGAGATACCAAGGGGCAGGTAGCCGCGGGCGAGGGATAGCTTGTCAGTCTGCGCGGCGGCACGTTCTGCCCACTCCACGGAAGTTGAGACTAATGAATGAATGCAGGACCTACTCCGAGGCTTAGATTAGTTGAAAGACATTGACAGATACTGCCGGCTCTGGGTTACCGCTATGGCCTTATCTATGGGGAAGAGCAGGCCCCAAGATTTCTTGGTCCTTGCCATAGAGAGAAGTGATATCTTGATCAAGCTCTCCTGAAATGTCGACTAAGCACTTCATCAACGACCCGGCACATCTGGTTGAGTCAGCACTCCGGGCAGTGACATTGACCAACCCCGGAATTGGCCTGGATGCCGCCAACAAAATTCTCTACATACGGCCAGGACTCATACCTCAACAGCTGAAGGTGCACCTGATCTCAGGAGGTGGATCCGGACATGAGCCGTCCTTTGCCGGTATGGTTGGCCCTGGGCTACTGAGTGCTGCGGTAGCGGGTACCATATTTGCTAGCCCAAGTGCACAGCAGATTCGCACTGCCATCGTAGGACGAGTGCCTCACCAGTCTAAATCGGACCCCGAAAGCGGTGTTCTCGTTATCGTTATGAACTACACCGGCGACGTGCTCAATTTCGGTGTCGCCATCGAAGCAGCAAGGGCTGAAGGAACTAATGTCCAGATGGTCGTTGTGGGAGACGATGTTGCTGTCGGTCGTTCTCACGCCGGCAAAGTGGGACGCCGCGGTATTGCTGGAACTGTCCTTGTACATAAGTTGAGCGGCGCCCTCGCTTCAATGGGTTATGGCTTGACTCAAGTTGCTGCTTTAGCCCAGCTCGTCGCTGATAACTTGGTCACAATCGGTGCTAGCTTGGAGCGAGTGCATGTTCCTGGGGTTCGAGAATCGTCCACGGAATATACATCGAGGCTGGCACCTGATGAGGCTGAAATTGGCATGGGGATTCACAATGAACAGGGATGGTGTCGTGCCAGCAATACCGCGTTTTCGGATCTCATCGATACCATGCTGCAGTACCTTCTAGCCCAAGACGACCCAGAGAGGTCATTTGTGGATTTTAAAACCAATCCCGAAAACGTTGTTCTTTTGGTGAATAACCTTGGAGGATTGAGTCCCTTGGAACTAGGAGGAATTGTGTCTGAAGCTGCATTGCAGCTTAAACAGACACACGGCATACGCGTATTACGAGTTCTCAGTGGCACCTACATGACGAGCCTTGATGCCCACGGTTTCAGCATAACTCTTCTCCGTCTAGTCAATACCGGTATCAACGGTCTCAGCCTTCTCGACTTGTTAGACTATCCCTGCGAAGCTCTTGGCTGGCCATCATCTGTCCCCAAGGCGACCTGGGAGGCAAAAGACTTAGGTATACAAGAACATAAGGTGGTGAGCAAGGTTGAGAAAGAGCTTAGCGGGCTCAAATCGGATGCCCAGACTACGGAGATGGCCCTAGTAGCCGCCTTGAAGTCAGTTATAGCCTCAGAACCGGATATAACGCGCTTTGACATGATTGTTGGTGACGGCGACTGCGGTACAACACTAAGAAGAGGTGCACAAGGTAAGACAAGGCAAATTCCCAATGGATTTTTCACACGATGTTAACCAAAAACACTACTTGGCAGCTGTTCTTCATCATGTTTCTTCTCACCATCTCACAGGAGATATTGTTGTCGATTTAGCCGCTATTGTTCCCGTTGTTGAGAACTCTATGGATGGCACATCCGGTGCCCTTTACGCTATATTTCTCAATTCACTTGTAAGATCATTGAGATCCCTCGCACCAGGAGAACTCTCATCGACATCCTGGGCCATCGCTCTGGGCAAGAGTCGAGATGCTTTGGCCAAGTACACACCTGCTCGGCCTGGAGACAGAACCCTTGTGGATGCACTATATCCTTTCATTGAAATTCTTGAAAAGACTGGGGACTTAGAAAAAGCTGCAACTGCGTCAATGGAGGCAGCAGAGGCGACTCAAGGCTTACAAGCTAAGTTGGGAAGGACGGTATATCTTGGCGATTCTGGCTTTGAGCAAGTACCAGACCCTGGAGCTTGGGGTCTTGCCCGATTCTTCGTCGGTTTGGCTGGTTACGAAATATAAGCTTTGCTTTTCGTAGAAAATAAACCATTAACACGTGAATCTGAAGTCAATCCAATTAGATCATAGCCCCTGGCAATATCTTTGAGCAGAGATTTCTAGCCTTGAAACTTACAATGAAAATCCAGCTGTTATCTTCCTCACAAAGTTTCTATATCGAGATTAAGAGATCAATCTGAAGTAAAACATGAAGTAGTATAATAAGAGAGAAGACCTCTAATTCCCATACACCTACTAAGGTCCTATTTAATCTACTCGAGTTTGGACAACAATGTCTGCTCTTCTCACTAGATAACTATATTAGAAACTGATTGTGTAAATTGCACTTGTAGAGTATCGCTATATATTAGAGTAATGAGTCGGGGCCCACTTGTCAATTTGGCCGGGTTAGATAAATTAGCTATTTTTCAGCATCCGTAGAAAAAGACATCCTTTTTACCCCTTCTTATTTTTACTTTTGAAAATCCCTTCTTATAAAAGATGCGTGTTTTGCAACGTTATGGCGGCTACAATAGGTCAATTGACTAGCTGTAAACGTGAACCATTTGATCAAATGAGAATACACACACAACTCAAAACCTCCTTTTCATAGCTGTTGTGGAAGGTTGTTAGATTTTGGTATGGTTGGCAGTCTGCATTTCAAGCTCGCTAACAGCTGTGGTGTTGTTCGTTTTTCCCCCAACACAGTAACTAGCGGCGAATTCTTAACTAGAGTAGTATACGTCACAGCGATAATAGATATACAAGTCCATGGCAACTACGCAATCCAAAACCAGATCTTCTCGAAAATGTTCCTCGGTTTCGACTCCTCCCACAACTCATCCTCGGCGTCTATCTCCTCCTTACCGGTAGTGATATCAGCGTTCTGGGCAGCCACAAACTTGGTCTTCTTCACCAACTTCCAGACGATGAAAAGGATGCCAAAAATAGGGATATTGATGTAAGCAGCGATGAAAGCTAAGATATTAAAAAATACTCAGTCAGTACTATATCCTCATGATAACAAATCAATCAAAGGAATATGTGACTTGCAACCTCTGAAAGGAATAACTCAACTCACCTCCAACGTCCCATTGTCCATGGATAAAGACTGAGAAGCCATTGAATATAATGACTATGCAAAAGAAGCCAAGAGCACCTATGGCCAAGTATGGTTGGCCTGGAGTCTTGAAGACCAATGAGGTGCGATCAACATTCTGGGCCTTGAGTGCCTTGTTAAAGTGAATGTACGCTAGGCATACGGACGCCCATGTAAACAGGGACGAAATGGTAACCAGATTCTGGAACCACTGGAATGCCTGTGCAGCGCCGCCGTTCTTTTGGACTGAAAGGTACGTCAGGACACCAAATCCCCCAGTTGCTAGCACAGCAAAGTAAGGAACGCCCTTTTTGTTGCAGCGCAGCAAGAACCCAGGAGCTTGATGATTTTGTGCGAGCGCGTACAGGTATCGCGAACCCGAATAGACGAAAGCGTTTGCAGCAGAAGAAGCCGATGTCAACACCACTGCATTGATAATAGACGGTAAGACAGTGATGCCCACGTTTTGGATACCAACAACCCATGGAGATTGCGCTGCTCCCGCCGCGTTGCTTTTCTGAGCTGACAATAGACGTTCGTCATTTGAAGCAACGAGAATTCCGACAGCAAGGGAACCGCAAACATAGAAGAGCAAGATGCGCCAGAAAACCCTCCGGACAGCCTTAGGAATGTTTCGCCGCGGATTTTCAGCCTCGCCTCCTGCGACAGCTACCATTTCCACGCCTCCAAAAGAGAACGCGGCGTTGACTAGAGTGGCGAAGAAGCCAAGAAAACGCCCAGTTGTACCCGCCACGAGATATTCTTTCATAGGCCCTGGCTCGACCCAATAGGTGAAACCCAGGCGACGATGCTGTGGGTTTCCCCCGAGCATGACGACGAAAGTCATTATGAGCAAGCCTACAATGGTGATGACTTTGATTGATGCAAAGATGAACTCTGCCTCCCCGTAAACCGAGACCGCAAAGATGTTGAGAATAACAACGAGCACTAAGATTATGCTTATCCAGACAGCGACATTTATATCTTTTGCACCATCCCAGTACCCGATGACGATGGAGGCAGCCGAGAGTTCTGCACAGAGGGTGATTGCTGCTTGATACCAGGTATTCCAACCGACCGCGAAACCGAGAGCAGGATCAACGTATCTCGTGCAGAATTGAGGAATAGCGCCGGGCAAAGGAAGCCAGGTGGCCATCTCGCCGAGGGATCGAAGCATGCCGTAGATTGCGAAACCGGTAAGGGTGTACCCGAGAAGGAGGGAGAGTGGACCGGCTTTGGTCAGAGCTGCACCAATGCCAAGGAACAGCCCTGTACCGATGGAGCCTCCGAGGGCAATGAACTGTACATGACGGGCCTTGAGCCTGTTGTCGCATCCTGTCAGCTCGAGAGACATGAAAAATCAAGGGGTGGGTAGAGTTGTCAACTTGCCCTCGGTTCAGTCTACCATTCGGAACAGTGTCTTCCACGGCATGCTCCTTATTCAAGTCTTCGTCATAGTTGGTTCCAACCCGTTTAGGGCTTTCGAGACGAACCTTTCCAGCTTCAATTTCGGATGGTCCTGAGGCCATGTTATATAGACTGTCAAGTTTGAGAGTGTCCGAGTTTGTATGTTCAGAAAGAGAATAAAGTGCTTTGTATCTGGATTGATAGCAAAAGCGAGGAGCTTTATATTTCCAACGAAACGAGGGGAGGCTCCATTTCCCCAGTATCATATTATGTGGGGTTTATTGTTATCTCTGGGGTTTGTTTGATTGTGTGGCGTCAAAACCTAGAACGATAATTTGGCCTCCGCGGCATGATAAGAGCACCGCGGCGCTCATATCCTGGATGTCACAAGGAATGGAACAGGATCCAATCATTAACTTCATTGGGAACTATGCTATCTACACTAGCTCCCAAGATGGGTTCGATATCTGTTATCTTGCTGATTACGTTTAGATTACCAGGGACAAGGAGCCTTGATGATTTCTGAGGTTAACAATTTCGATATATCCCCCCTTCTCATAATTAGCTCCTACAATGCTGGGTAATCTATGCGAATCTTCATAGGGAATTACTAGTTACCTATTTTTACAACAATTTCAGTTGGCGGAGCAAGAGAATTTCTCGGAAAATATCAACTGGTCTGTTCCCTGACTATTTTCAACAGCATAAAATAACCGTGTTAGATATTTGGTAATGAAATCTATACAATTTAATATATTCACCCTCTCACATGCTCGAGCAAATCAGATCCATAGTGAGGTATATTAACGTTCATCAAATCTGCTGGCCCCATAATATAGGATCCCACTGATCTGTAAAGAGGGACTCCAAGAAAGCAGGATCAGAAAGTGCTCCTGGAGTCATATCAACACACCCTCCATCGGGTAGTCCAGCACTCTGCTGCGCAAACAAGTTTTCAACCAATTCACCATACTGATTGACACATATGTCCCCCAGCTCCCATCCGTGATCTTCTTTGTATAATCGTAGAGATGCAACCATATCTTTCGCCAAAGAGAGAGAGATGCCCTGAGAAGGGCCAGAGGTGTTGCACTCAACCTGAACCGCCAGACGAACGAGAAATGTAATGGTGGAGGAGAAGACAAAAGCAACGGTGGGCAGCCAAAAATCTCCCAGTTGCCTGGGAGTAAGCTCGTGTAAGAAGACAACAATCTCCTCCACTATCCCTCGTAGTTCAAATAACTTATCGTCAGAAATCTGGTCGATGACTGTGCTACCCATTTCGGTGTTTAGATCGACGCGTCTGCTAAAGAACTTTGCAGCCAGGAAGCACAAGCGGAGGTTGGCAGCGCCAGGCACGTCAAGATCCGTCCCACGGATTATAATCGTTCGAACCTTTCCAGAGAGTGTATCAATCCATGAGTTGAGATTCAAGGTGTAGCCTGGTCGGTCGAATCGGCTGTGCGGCCTCGTTCGGACAGAGTATAGTTGCTCGAGGTATGGGCCCAGAGCCTCTGTTAAACTAGCCAAGGCTTCAAAGACCTTGATTCTTTCCTCTGTGGCCGTTTCATTTCCTTGGTACCCCTTTTGTCGGATGAGGTTTGGGACAGGGACATCGTGGTGGTTTTGTCGGATGTGCGGCGGGGTTCCATACATCAGACTTGACCTAGAAATAACGCCAGTTAGACTTCATACCAAGCAAACCGGCCACGACCTGATATAAAAGCAAGACATAGGGCACTTACCAACGGTCATGAATGACGAGACACCACCATATTTGCGTGCGTAGATTCTTCTCTTGGTCCGGTATATCCCATGTTATCGGATTTCGGTTCAGCCCGAGACAGTGGGCTAAAGAAATGGCGCTCCCGAGGAGCATTCCGTTCCCGATCATCGTGGTGGTTGGACGGCCTCCGACGTTCAACAGAATAGCGATAATGGAAGGCATGCCAGGTGACAAGTGGAGTTCAGAGTATAACGCTTCCAAAGCCAGGTTCCAAATGAACCTACCGTCCGGGTGGTGATGGTTGGATAGCTCGGGATCGTGTTGCCAATAGATGATTGAATGTGCATATAGACATGCCAAGACTGCTGGGGAGATGCGACCCCGGGTGATTATTGAAGGTTCAACAAAGAAGGATTCGTCCAAGATGGGGAAACAGCTGTTGGCCTTGTTCAAGTACCTAGGATAGGACACGATATTAGCACAAAGTAGGTGAGCATGGTCTATCTCTACTTACATATTTACCACCTGTTGTCGGTAAGGCTCTAGCAGTTTTGTAATCACCTGCAACTTAGCATGGGACGGGCTTGGGTCCATAGCGACGCCAATTGGCCTCTTCTGTACCTTGGTGAAGACCACTGGCACAGCGGCAATACCCGGTAAGGCGGGCCTGATGGTTCTTGTTCTGTTGCCGGCCTGGACAATCGATAAGTAGTCCTCCAGCAAGTGCCTGTCCCTGGCGACGGCTGGTCCCATGATATGAGGGCTATCATCTTCAGCCTCGTCCAGGGCTAGCGGATGGCTCCCCACGGCTGGTGTTGAAGCAAAGAATAACGAAGAGGGTGTACCGGGAAACTGTGGCGCAAGAGCACCAAGCGCGGGCTGCGACTCCGAGTTTACGGCGTGTGGAGTTGCTTGAGAGAGCCTGCGTTCTGAAGAGACTCTGATGTGCGCATCCTGCTCCTGAGATGCCTCAGCATCCGGGGCAGCTCTCTTTCGAGGGGTGGGAACCTTGCCTCTGCCTTGTTGTGTGGACGGAGGCCGCGGGTTCGGCTCTGGTCCCGAGGCCATCACGCAGTTCGACTCATGAGCGCGGCACATCAGGCATGCTTGCGACCCCGGCTCAAACTTGCATCGTGATTTCCTGCGTCTGCATGGTAGACACGCCGCCTGCCCTTGCGACTTTGACGAACGCCCTTTGACCGTTTCACTCTGCATGATTTGGGGAGACGTGTTCAAAGAGATAACAAAATCTACTGTGACCAATTAATTCCTCTATGATAAGACTGGGATTGGGTAGCCGAGGAAAATGGAAATTGATGAGTGTGTATCGTGGGTGAGCAGCCGGCCGCGGAGGTGGGCAATATTTGAGGGGGTCCTCCGCGGCCCGCGGAACGTTTGATGCATTATGAATTTTCTAGCGCGAAACCTAAATATCATACCATCCGCTCATTTGTACTGCACAAGAGCGGACTCAGATAGAGGGCCACTTCCAGGCAATACATTTAGAAATACTTACTAATCTTTGAGTAAAGGGGGTGACTGACGGCTCTTGGAATGAGACTCCCATAGCTAAGGTGGTAAAAGCTAGAATAACAGCAATCACCACGCACTAAATCAATGGTGAAGTATTGATCCGAGCCCAAGGGCCCTCGGATGCGAACTGCCTGACATATCGAAAATCTTGTGGCATGTGAAACTTTTGAAAAGATCAGGATAAGGTACGCATGGAAGTGTAACGAAACTGCGAAGAATCAACAATCGTTCTCAGATATGTAAAGTTTAAATCACTCCACGTCATTCAGGCATTTTGATCCTAGCGAAGACAGATGTCGGTCCCACGTCTACTACTGCTCTCTGGTTCTAGGATGAGTGAAGGCCACTTTTTATTAACTCGAACAATTCCTTCGCTGGCCTCATGGTACGAATCAACAATACCAAGCACCATTGAACAGGCGACAACAGACACCACGACTTCAGATTAGTCGCTGGATCTACTATGTAGTTGGGCTTATCGGAGGGCAGTTGGAGTGTAACCGAAGCGGTCGCAAGAGTGAAATTCCATGTTCGACTACCTACCCGATAGAAAAAAAACATCCATTCAAGTGGATTAGAATAAAGCACCATATATCCGTTGCCGAAAGTAAAAACCAAAGAAGAAAAAAACCATTTGAATTTCAATATTATCTTGATCTCATTTATCAATTGGTTATTATCTTGAGTGTCATCAACTCCCCAAACATCAGACACTAGCCCATCTAGCATCAAATCTTCTCTGGTTCCCACTAGGATTTTCAACTCTTAATATTCATTCTACCTAGCTGACTCTTCCAAATATATGCCGACTTATTCCCGGCGTCTTAACTCCTTGATCTCGGACACTCTCAACTCTTGTCTTAGCCCGGCCCATAATTGAGAGGCATATTTTTTCTAAACTCTGATCCGGTTTCTGATAAGCGGTCCCGGATATCATGCTGGCGTTGTGTCTCAACTCTGCCCACGGCGAGAGAAGCAATCCACCATCATCGTCGGCACTTGAGACGTGTATTGTGTGAATTGAAACCAATCTAGATCGTGCTCGCGTGAGGGCGCCAGGAAGAAACTCCACGATGCCGCCCAGGATCAACAAACGCGAATACCGAGGACTCGCTTGCCATCGATGTCACAGACAGAAAGTCAAATCCGATGGAGGATTGCGCCTGTCCAAGCTGCAACGTGACATAGAAGAATCTCACATAAAATCACAGAGAAACCCTGCCGGAACTGTGCCTTGTCAAATTGGCAATGTACGTATGCTATCCGCGATCAGAAGGCGACAGTTACAGAGAGCTATCTTAAGAAGCTCGAGGGTGGTGGATTGCTTGCTGCAGAAACATCGGGGAGGTCTTCGAGGCGTATTCCTTCCGACACCGTGGATAGCCCCAGAAAACAGCCCATCCAGCATTCTGACCCCAACTTTGGCCGTCGCTCCATGGAGCTTTTAGGCGAAAACTCAACTGCAGAACACTTTGTGTCCAAGTTGAAGGAAATTCAGGACTTGAAGACCTTCCTGTGCGGCCAGGGCACACGGTTAGACAGTCTCAGCATTATATAGACTGACGAGTCTGAGCTGCGGGTGTCACATTCCGCCAGATGTAAGTATGCTACATTGAAGTTTGATACAACTTGTAGGTCTCACTTGGATTGTCCTTAAGTCTGGTTACTCATGTCCCTCCTAGGTTCGACCTGTACCTTTAACCTCCCTCTACATCCATATGTGGTTCATTTACTTGAGCAATTCTCGGTATATTTTGGTCACGACTGGCATTTGTTCTGTCCACAAACCTTTCATCCAAAACTGCACAATACCTATATAACAGTGGATCTCCCAGAATCGAAAGATCACGCCTGGGTGTGCAAGCTCCTCGTTATCCTCGCGCTCGCAGAGTCAGTCGATATCGTCAGGCAACCTGAGATCACTCTGGATCTTTTTAACCCTATATTACAGCCACTGAGTCAAGATATACCATCGCAATACATTCCTATCCCCGGGGCAAGAGTCTTTCGAACAGGCTTTGATAATACTGAAAATTTCTTATGAAAATACCACGGTTGACCACATGGAGATTTTAAACTTAATAGTGTGTTTTGCCGAAGAATGATGGTTCTAAACCTCCTGTACAATCCTAATCACAACTATAGGCTCTCTACTCAAACCAATTCAACAGGCAAAAAGCTGCATACAATTACGCAGGAGCAAGTGCAAGACTATACAACATGCTGCAGTTGCATAAGGTGTCTGCATCAACTGATTGTTCACCGGCTGAGGGAGAGCACAGGAAACGTCTATGGTAGTCGACATACTGTCTAGACTGAATGACCAGTACATTTACAGGCTTGCCGCCTGCCTTCGAGGTTGATCAAACCGACCTTGCATATCCTAAGCAAACTCAAGATTCACCAGATGAGATAGAGGAGTTCAGCGATGCCGACTTTCTAACTGCCCGTATAAAGCTTACTACTATTCAAATAAGAAATTTGAATAGCGCGTCTCACATCGGCCTTGACGACGCATAAAATATCAAAACCATGCTTCGTCCGAATCTGCAAAGACTTGAATCTTGGAGAGAAAGCCTGCCAGCTCATATGGTTTCTGAGACTGGAAATAATACAAATGAGCGTATAAAATCACTGCCCTTCAAGCGTTCCCTAGCTAAGATGCACCTGCGTTTCAACCATGTAAGGCATGCAAAGAACGAGCTATCCGCTTGCATACACGATTCGCACTGCTAATATATAACACAGTGCATAATACTTTTACTATGGCCGCTTATTCTAAGACAAGTACCTTGTATATTCTCAGATGAGAAATTAAATACAACCCAGGAGGATCTAGAATATATTAATAACAACTGCCTTAGGTCAGCGCGGTTAAATGTGCTCATCATGATCAATGTGCAGTCCGCTGGTCTAATCAGTAAGTCAGTTTATATGCTTGGAACTGACCACACCGCTTTATTCAATGTTAATAGAAAATAACCAATAAAGCACGACTCGGATTCATGGAAAATATGCATTTATTCACAAGCTTAATGATCCTCTGTTTATCAATGTAAGTTAATGCGCGGCGACCTGGAAGCTTTAAAGAGACACCGGATGATATAAAAACATATCAGTCGGGTAAAAGTGTCCTTACTTATATGATGAAATGTGGAACCTTGGCTGCAAGGGGATATCTGAGCATGGTAAAGAAGTCGAGGACATAGGAATCGCTATTGCAACGGAAAGCGGAGTAGTAGATACTAATGAGGGAAATCAGTGGGATATTGAAGAGTGGGTAACATAGTTGTTTGAGAGCGAGGACATGATACGATCCTGTGGTTATATAATAGTGCGCGGCCTTAGTATTGCGAATTATTTCGACTAGGAAAGTCTTTATCTTACGATATTGTTATACTTATACGGCCCAAGTTGAATTTTAGACTAATAGGGAGTATCCTATATGCTTAATAATATTCACCTCATGCACGGCTCATGGATCTATTGCTTCCAAATCTTCTCGCCTATACACCTTTTATAGTCTACGTTAGCTAAACTTGCATAGGCGTCCGGCCTCGTGCTTCTGAGGCTGGCCCATTGTTGACAATTGCTTTGTAGCGAAATAGCTTCTCGACGAGAAGCCCGTTGGCAATGCCTTTCTACCAGTGCTCGAATCCCTTGCGAGACACTGTAGGGATTGTCCACATATCCTTTCTACAATATAGATTAGTCAAAGCGATAAGAATATCGACTGGAATTTTAGGGAAAATTTGTACCAGCTCATCTCGGAATGATTCAGCATCATTCTGGAGAATCCAGTCTATGGCCTTGCCAAGGCTGTAGTGGCGTCGTCCGCAGAGTTCGGTAAGCCTGCAGCTAAGACGTAAGAGCTCTTTGCAGTCCTTGTTGGGTAGAAATCTAAAATAATAAGCTAATGTTAGCTGAGGAGTCAGCATTATACACCCAGGGCTATAGCCGATACGCTTCCGATGTAAGAAAATCCAGTTCCAGTCTTGCTTCAAGTAGTGATTTCAGCGTAAGATGGTCCTCGTTATCTGCTCAAATATTCGTAGAAGGCTGATTGTCCGTTGTGTTCTTGAATAACAATATAGCTCGGATGTCGAGTCGACCAAAGGCTTCTACAAGCCAATCGTCGACGGGATCGTTTGAAAGCTGCCGCATGTTGTTATACTTATGATTTTGCAGTATCTGCATGCCATGCTGAAGATGTAGTAGGCCTTGCGCTGGACGCTTTTGGAGGTATTCTATGATTACAAACGTCAAACACCCGGTGAGAGTCACTCGAGTAGACGCCCTGCCTCTATCCGACTGGGACCTATTGAGCAAACTGATGGCCGTGTTATAATGTCGCAGGGTAGCTGACTCTGGGTTGTTAATAGAATCCTGAGAGTCTGTGGATCCTTTGTTAATGCATGCTCTTTTGTAAATACAGCCCAGTGCCAAGACACAACTGAGAATGACGGGCTCATTGTAGCATGCCTGCGGAACTAGAATTTCCTAGAATGGAAAAGGGAAGATCCCTTGGAGTCTGGCCAGCATTAACCACGCTAGAATCTAGCGGTATTCTGCGATGAGATGCCCTACAGGGCCCGTGTTACTGGGTCGGTACAGATCGAGGCATTGAGTCAAGGGGCCGCTGCCTGGATGTTGTCCACCACCCCAAATACCGTATCCCATGCATTCGCGGCCTGCAGAGGTGCAGCGCCGGCAAGACAGCCGCTGTTAGTTACACTTGGCTTGCCGTGCCCTGTTACAAGCGGAGTCAGCGCATACCCGTATCGAAAAGAGTTGCAAAGGGCTCGATGAACTTACTTGCACTGCGGCAGCCTGTCTTGAGGCGTTGGATTTCCCTATGAGTCGGCAGATGTTTGTTCGGTCTAGTAGATAGTCCCTCCATGACTATGATCGGCTCAGCGGTTGTATAATGGTGGAAAGTCGATCAGGGGTGAGGGTAAAGGAAGAGGTAATATTAAAGTTCCTCGTCGGAAACAAGTGTTACTACGGGGGTGTTCATTGTCACGTGACAGGCGTGGCTCAATGGAGCGGCCTACCAGTACCTACTCTAAGCATGGTTAAGACGCCAAATATAGTCCTTGATAGTGAAGCCTCCATTTATCCTTTAAACCCAGCTCCGTAAATCTAAAAGCAAGGGTCTTCTTAATACTGGAATCGGAAGTTAGGGTCCGAGGTGTCTGTGATACCAACAGTCAAGTTATCCGATCGGCCAAACTTTTTATCGCGACGACGATTCTCCTATCTCATCCAGCCACCATAGGCGAAACTAACGAAAGAACCTAAAGCGGCCATTGCAAGATTGACCCGTAAGCTTGTAATATACCGAGGTGCCTCCGAGGATATATAGATGTTACTTGACAAGAGTCCAGCGCAGTTACCGACTGAGTTGTAAACCCCAATGGGAGCACGGGCATTCAAGTTGGAATATTCGCGATGGTCCAGGTTGCTCCAAGGGGTGTGCTGGGGTATGCCTGTGTTTCGGTTCTATCAGTATACCTTTTTGAACAACAGCAAGACTCTCAAGAAACACTTACTCCCATGGTGCAGAGAAACATGGCGAAATATAGCACTCCCCACCCCTTATTTTCCCCACAATACAGAATAATATAGCCGACAAAACTTAGGACCAAAGAGCTACCAATATGATACCCGCGTTCATAAAAGTGGTCGGAAGAGCGACAAAAGCAAATCAGCGTAATTGCTCCAACCAGAGCGGGAGCAATAGTCAACTATATCAGGGTATGAGATCAATACGAGGGTTGACAAGAGGTGGAGACAGTAAGGCTTACCAGGTTGGTCTTAATCGTACTAAAATGTAGACCCTTGATGATCATTGCCAAGAAGTTCGGGTTAGAGGTTAATGTCACACCTTGAATAAAAGTAGATATCAGTCGGACATAAATATACGGCGCCTTGAACTCTGTGAAAAATTCAGAAAGGGTATAACTTGAATCGAGCGACTTAACCGAGTCTCTTTTCAATTGTTCTATCGCTGTTGCTTTCTCGGATGCAGTCAAGAACCAAGCGGAATGCACGTCTGATAGAAGAAAAAAGAACGCAACCAGGCACCAACAGATAGTCAAGCCCCCTCGAGGAAAAATAAGTATGACCAACGGGAATAGCCGCTTTGTGCGGTCACCTGGAACATGCCATATGAGAGGAGACCCCCAAAGGCAGATGACGCGACCAATGCGCCATAGAATATGCCAATTCGAGTTGCGAGCTCCGATCGAGTGTACCATACAGACAAGTAGTAAAATACACTATTGGGGCCATAAGTAAATTCAACTCATCCCGGGCGCGGAGTGTAATAAAAAAGAAAGGGAACCACTCACGAAGCGAGGAAGCCAGATTCAAATATTCCCACAATAACGCGGCAGGCAACTAGATGCCCGAACGTCCGAGCCCAACCGGTTGCGAGTGATACAATACCGAAACAAAAAAGCATACCGGAGATTGAATACTTGGCTCCAATCAGCTTAGTGACGACCGTGAGTAATGGGCCGAAGACAATAAATGGAACTTGGTAATATGTGAGAACTCTACAATGAGAGTGCGGTCAGGCGTTTATCCTACTCATTATCTCGTGTGTCACAGAGAAACGTGCACTCACTGATTAAACTGGTTTCCAACAAGATTCTGGTCAACTTCTAGACCAGCAGTATTCGCATTCGCAACATTGCTGCGATCAAGAGAGCTGCAGTACGTTAGTATATCAGGGGCGCAGAGATATAACCCATTGATGAGGCTTACTTCAGCAAATAAGCGATGGCCAATACAGGAAGAAGAATAACATCAGCCTTGCGTTTTAAAGTTCTCGCAACGGCTGGATCGATTTGCTCCTGAGTAATACCATTATCGACGTCTAAGTCGATCTGGCCAGATTCAACCTTGATATCCTTTTGGCCGGTCATTTTTGCAAAAGTCTCTTGGGTGAATCTTGGTTTTCCTGTTAAGTGCTGCAAGGAATGAGTTCGTGGGATGAGGCTGGATTAAGTGGAAGCGACATGGCCGATAACAACATATGCCATAAAAGATTCACAGACACTCGGTCTCCGCTTAACCCTCAAAGCCACCTCGCTCGCTGCAGTCGAGCCGTACAAGATTGGTCTCTCTCACTACCGTCACACTTGGAATGGTCTACTGAAAACTACTCAATGCACAGCAGCCTGGGGCAGAGCCGTGCTTTTTTATCCCTCCATCTTCTGTTGCGCAGCGCATTGTGCATCGCCCATCAATGTTACTTGCCTCAACTAGATGGTTGCTCGCTTTTGCTGGACTGTTTAGATGCTGCGGGCTTGTCTCTACTTCACCGAGAGCCATCCCTCATTTCCATCTGTGTCAGTAATGCCATGGCCCTAGGCAAGATCGTGACAACAGTATGGAAATGCGCCGATAGTGGAGGCCGACTTGACCTGGAAACGACATGGCTTGCTGGCACGTGCCTTCCAGCAGCGAATGTCTTCTTGTGGCTTCAATATGCTACAGATGAAGACTTTTCCAGGGAGGATGTTCGGGAAACGGCCAAATACTATTCTCACACCATCAGGTCAATATTCTCAACTCTGTGTGGGCAATGGCAAGTTGCACACGGGTGGCTTGCGACCCTCCGGACTACGGAGTCCACTTACCGTGCTGCATATCTTGGCGAGATCCCCCCCGACTCGGAGATTGAGGAATTATCTCCCTCATCCTTGTCATCGCATAATGGCGAGGGATCGCTGAACGGATTCAAGCCGAGGCCTGGAGACGGGTGTCCCCCAGTCACTGTGAGGTCGAACCTGTACGATGTACTCCGGATGATTACGACAGAATCGACGCTTGAGGAACTTCAGTCAGTATGGATGTATCTTGCAGGGGGCTGGTCTGAAGATCTACAACACTCCTTGTTTAGCTGTCTATAGGCTCTATCAGGGCGCGGAGGTGCTTTGGTCTGTATTATTCTTTTAGACAATACATTGATTTTTTCGAATTCAGATACTGCCTTTCCTGTCTACTAAATCAAAAGACAGGGTTTGAAATGGGTCGCCTGACTAATCCCTGATGTAGGACCAGCTTGCCGACGGAAGAAGTATCCGCTATCCAAGATAGTGGAATAAGTAGTGTATTTTCTCTCCTATGAGGCCTTGTTTGCTTTCTTCACATCACTTTCTTCTAGTTAGGCACGAAAAAAACATGGGTTCCCAGAATAACTTGGAGGGCCAGGTACCTAATCCACTAAATCCTGAATTTTTAGATCTTTCAGATGAAGATTTTATCGATTACTATAATGAGCACCTAGCATGGATGCCTAAGACGCATTTGTTAAGCATCGAGGAGATGAGAAAGAATGGGCATAAATATGCTTCCCCTTGGTGTCGAGACTTTTCTAATGAAGCGTTTGTCAAAGACATCAAGCTCGCCGCAGATGATGGCCATCTTTTCACGGCACGATGTTATTATCCGGACGATAAAAAGTCGACTTTTGGCATCGGTCCTTACCCAGTCTATATCAACTTCCATGGTATGTCAAGCATTGTCACTACAGCTCTACTTTAAAATTTGCCCCCTCCAAGGAAGATGTTGACCAAGCTCGGTACAGGAGGTGGTTGGACGTTTGGTGGCCTGACGGGCGACGCAGAAATCTGCATGGCCATACGAGAGCGTCTCGGCATACTAGTCATGGACATAGACTACAGACTTTCACCAGGTTAGCCAGGCAGGATCCAATGAAACAATGCCGCATCCTATCAGCTAATGTGTTGCTGATGACACTCGGTTAGAGAATACCTTCGGGACCGGCGCCGACGATGCTTGGGCAGCAGTCAAATGGGTAAGTCATTTGAACAGCAATGTCAATGTTTACTCTAGAGGGTTGTCTCCGAATTGACTTGGTTGGTTTGGGCAGGTATATTAAAACGGCTCCGAGATTAATGCACAGGGTGATTGCATCTCAATTGGTGGAATATCGGCCGGTGGTCATATATGCGCCACCATACAGCAACTTGCTCGCGATGCTGATATGCCCTTGAGGCTTGGTAAGTGTGAACATGGGGTCTAGTGAATCCAATTCTGACGTAGCATGCTAGCAATTCTCTCACTCCCCGCGGTTATCTACGAAGGGGACTTCAGAAAACCATCGGATGCGCCTTTACAATCTTGGGTAGAGAACCAGAACGCTCCTTGTCTTAATTGGGAGCGCTCTAAATTCTTCCAGCAGCACTATAACCCCAAGAATAGTGCTGAACGATCTAAATTCGACTCACGGCCCATATTTTATAAGAGTCCCTTATACGAAGAGCCTTCATATGTACCGCAGAGCGTGATCCTTTGCGTGATGAAGGGGAGTCGTATGGCTTGAAGCTTGCCCAGCTTGGTGTCCGAGTTTCCATCCGACGCTACACCAACGTGCCCCATCCATTCATGCATATGGCACCAATTAAGAAAGCTCAAATGTATTTAGAGGACATTTGTAGCGAACTAGGAAGGGCGATCAGTCCCAGAGCTACCTCATAGATAGAAATAGAAGCCTAGAAACTAGTCGGAAAATAAATCTTAGATGTTCCGCAATCAATATGTTTTTACAATGATCTAGCGTATATCTTCCATATTAATAGAAAAAATTAAGTCATTGCAGACAACCTTGACATGTACTACTATACTCGGTGCCTTCACTACTAATTCACTGCTTCAGCCCATCCCCATCTTCTGCTTCTGATGCAGAACGGTAATTATACGGCTGTATCTGTCAAAGGTAATTAGGAAAGCCGGTTCCATATTGAGCATTCTCGTACCCAATAAAATCAATGGTAGGGTAGCTCATATTCAACCCATGTTCTATAGAGGCTGATTCTTCATGTTCTGTCGACTTAGCCGACTATATTCATCGGCTTCACATGGTCGCAGTGATCCCTATCTGTACATATATATTGTGCGCTATCTCCCATAGAGGCAAAGTGGCTCAGACAATGAGTTTGACTGCTGTATGTAAATTCTACATCATGGAAGAACCTTCTGTTTCATCAACCATTGTCATCATTGGGTAGGGATTGCTCTCTTCCAGCAATTAAGGATGAAGCTAATCAACAATACACTCAGAGCTGGTGTGATAAGGCTCTCTTGCGCCTTGAGACTGCAGTCCTTGCCTCCATTTAACAGCAGTTCAACGCATAAGCGGAGAATCATGCTCGTTGCCAAAGAATGGCCCACGTCGATACCAGGTACCCCAGAGACCCATTCAGTCAACTACGCTTCGATATGGGCCGGCTCTCATGTTCGCCCTATCCCGGCAACATCTGCCCAGCTACAAAGGGAGGCTATTTATCTGAAGCAGACAGTCGAAGAATTTGAACGTATGTTTGCTGTGGAGCCGTCAGTTGGACTAAAGCGCACGGTTGGAATGGAATATTTGGATGCGCTCTCAGCAGACTATCTGTCCCAAACAGCAGCAACATTTATGTCGGAATCAGGTTTGCGAGGGTGTAGAGCTCTGGGCTCTACGGAACTCCCAGACGGTGTCGCTCTAAGGTTTGAATACGAAACGTTTTGTATTAACTCGCCAGTGTATTGTCGGAACTTGCTGCGGAAGTTTATCCTTCAAGGTGGAGAGACACTGCAGAAAGATTTGAGGAGCGAGTGGGAAGCTTTTAGTCTCGTTCACGATATCGAATTAGTTATTAATGCAAGCGGTATCGGGTTTGGAGACAATTTATCGTTTCCAACACGAGGTAAAATGAAACACCATCTAAGCTTCATGCCCAGTAGAGATTGACACATACACATTAATCGCGCAGGACAAATTGTATGAACAAACCTGACCCACGTGTCAAAAACTATCACAAGACAACATCAGGATGGTATATGGAGTTTCATCATCCCCAGATTCTTCAACGGAGGCACCATTGTGGGTGGCACCAAGGAGCCAGGAGAATGGAACTCGGAGCCTTCCATGTCAACCAGAGAAAATCTTCTGGAGGCGGGAAAAAAGCTTGTTCCATATTCTTTGACTCCAAATGCCACACTAATAAGCAAAGCGGAAGAGATACAAGTTATTGCTGACGTTGTTGGGCGAAGACCTACACGACAAGGAGGCATCCGGATAGAAGTGGAGGAGAAAAGCATAGAGAATAGGGCCACAAGAATGCCCCCGCGCCGGGTTATTCATGCGTATGGCGCAGGGGGCCGAGGATTTGAACTTAGTTGGGGAGTTGCTAATGAAGTGGCTCAACTTGCCTCACAGCTTGTCCCGAAACCTACTTCCTGTATACCAAGACTCTAGCTAGTAGTTCAAGAAACGAGCTTTAGTTCCAATGAGATAGGCATTACTTCCAGGATCCTTTATTCGCTTTTTTTTTAATACCACTTCTATTGATGGACAAACGTAACTAATCATGCTCATGTTATCTATTGCGATTCCCTCCCCTGTCGGTATATTAAATTGCTAGACAATCAGATAATTATAAGGGTATATGGCGAATTAAACAATCAGAGGCAAGGGACTTGTAAGCGAGGGACTAGTCGGAAAAGCCGATGTATATTGAGCCGTGAGGGGGTTTGTTCTCTATCGCTTCAAGGGCACCTATATATAACCCTAAACCAGAACCACGGAACCATGTTCGGCTAACTCTCAGCCTCAAGCGCAACGGATAACCCGACGTCGCTCTAAGAAGGACCGATGTAATTGGTAATTCCAAAGGCTCTTATCAGCATGGGCCCACTCCCTACGTTAACTCGCTATTCTTGAACCGATTTCTTAGCAGATAAATCTGTCAATTGCCAATGATCAGTGATCACTATGGCTTTTGCTTTCTGTCTAAGGCAGATGACTTAAATTTCGCAAGTTGTATCTCTTTAGCATGAGAACAACAATGACCTCCTGCTACTCACTCACCAGCATTGGCATTGTTGGATTGCTTCTCATTCAAGCTGTGACGGCAATACCGCATGCTTGGAGCCGCAGCGGGGACTCGGAAGTTTCGAAATTCGGCTTTGTGAATGTGTCGGTTTCGACAGTTTGGAAGGACCAAAGCAAACCCCGTGCTGTGGACGCACCAGCGCTCAGCAGCCCGGTACGAGTCCAAGAATGGCTGGACTCAATGACGGTAGACCAATTCAAAGACCTGAGTGCGAAATCACGGACAGAGACCCAGGTTCTCTATGGATCTTGGGTCATTATAACGGAAACACAGGGCGATTGGTACAAGATCGCCGTACCTGATCAGCCCGTACCAACCACTAAACCCCAGATCGGATACCCGGGCTGGGTTCCCTCCTCTCACGTGTCAGTGGATGACGACTATTATGGCACTTTACAGCAGACGCAGCCCTTCGCACAGGTGACGAGGCCTAAAATTGCACCACTCTTCCGAGACGCCCAGCTGTCAGACAAGATCATGGACATTGCTTTCAATACTCGGCTACCTTTGATCACTCAGCTTTCCAACGCGACTCAGGTCGCCATACCAGGAGGTATCGCCTACTTGAACCGAGCCGACGTCGCGACGTACAAGCATAGCTCAGATATTCCTAGCCCTCCAGGTCAGGACATTGTTGAGACCGGAAGATTGTTCACGGGCTTGCCTTACCTGTGGGGTGGGACATCTGGATTCGCCTTTGATTGCTCAGGTTTCACATACACGGTGTACAATTCGCACGGCATCGTGATTCCCCGTGACTCTGGGCCACAGGCACAGTCAGCGCTTGGTATAAAGGTGGAGGTATTGCATCTCAAAGCGGGCGATCTTCTCTTCTATGCCCGCAATACCACTAGTGCCAGCACAATCTATCATGTTGCGATGTATGCAGGGAACGGAACCATGTTGGAGGCCTATAGTTCAGGAGTTCCTCTTCGACTCACTGCTGCACGCCTTGAGACAGATTATTGGGGAGCTAAGCGATTTATAGGCTCTTAAAGCCGTGTAGTACCGCCAGGCGCAGTGTAGGATCCTCAAGGGGTCACAGAATCCCGAGGAAATCATTCGCAAATTCGTATATCCAGTCTGTTCTGTACTTAAGAATCATATCATTTCAGCCATTGATTAATTTATCCTCTTATTTTCACATTGATTTCAATATCGAGATAGGTGGTCAGTAGGGCTGTGGTTGATTGTCATTATGCAATCAGTTTATTCTATTTCTATTATTACATTTAACAAACAATTACTTACACAGCAAGATTAACACATGGACCTCGCACACAGTTGCAACGGTGCTATTATGACGAAATCAAAGCTAAGTGCTTATTATCAGTCCGCATTTGGTATTTGTAGACATGCACTGAACTTGAAGTACATATTTCCTGAGTGTAGCTAAGGCTTACTCTGCGTTTCTCTAGAGGGGATCTATGGAAGCTCGTGCCAGTTTGCGAGGTTAAGAGGCAAGACACTGATCTGAGAAAGGGAGAAGCGTTCTTTGGGTTGCTCACTGAGAGGCATAGGGTAGCTCAACAACAGGATTAACACTGGGCTAAGATGAACAAGGGCCTCCCTGTTCGTTACCCACTCTTGCTTACGCTTTAATTAGCTAATGCGATCTCTTCTCACGTGATAATAAGATTTAACATTGATATGCTAGAAAGAGCAATCCCACAGTGGGCGGTAGCCCCCTTGTTCATCTTACATACACCAAGAAGATTAACACTAGTTTCACCAGTTAGGGATATAGTATCAGCTTCGTAGCATTCAGTTACGTCGTGAAGAGAAGTCTCCGCTTCTTCCATCCTACGCCCATTTGATCTCTCTATTCGCAGATCTTTTGGTCGCTTACCCCAGCTGAGAATTGTTGATTTATTCGGGGATGATTCGGCAATACTTCTTTGGTTATCTGCTGATGTCAGAGCAGCCCTGTAAATGGTCTAGTAGCACGCCTCCATAATATAAAGTGGACCAGAGAGTGAAGAGGAAGAACTTCACTGGAGCCTGAAACTGGTCAGATCTCCAAAGGATTTTGGTTTTTACACCTCGGGGAACATCGGTTCATAACCGAAAGGCTCGCAGGAACAACATAGACATATAAATACAATATAAAGCGAATAAGATATACGCAACAACCAATCCAACCATCGCGTTAACAAGACCGCAGCTTGCAATCCTAACCCTACCAGGGGAGAAACCAGCATACACCATGAAGGCAGCGATTACTCTACGAATGCTCATAGGGGCGGTTGTAACAACTGTCGCGACTGCCCAGGTGGCGCCGCAGCCAGATGGATGGCCAGTGTTCACGTACCAGGGAGTGGTGACTGACAAGAGCAAGCTTCAGTACAACCCGACCAACGAATATATTTTCCCCTCGGTACTTCATGCTAGCATTTACCTGAAAAACCCCCTTGGAGCGTGGTATTTGTACTACGCCCCTCATGACGATCCCGGCGGTATCTCGCTCATGTATGCCAACAGCCCCGACGGGCCATGGACTGAGTACGCCAACAATCCAGTCATTAAGAACGTATGGTCGGGGCACTACTCGGTGCCCCATGTCTCCAGTCCAGATGCAAAGTGGAACAAGGAGGCCAGCCGTTTGTTCGTGTACTTTCACGGGAGCAACGCCCAGACTCGCTGGGCAGAAACCGACGACGGGGTCAACTTTGATTACGGAGGCGTTGCCGTGAACAACAGTATGGGAGGGCCGAACGTGACAGAGACGAGTTATGCGCGTGTCTTTACGCACCGCAATCCGGCCTCCGGATACGCTTACGGTATGTTCTATATGGGCAACGAGCGTGATAACGTGCGCCGCATTCGCTTGGCCGAATCTAAGGACGGGCGCACTTGGACCGTGGACCCCAACTACATTGTTGAGCCTGGTCCCGAAGAGGGTACCAACGTCTCAGGAGGAAGCCTCTGGCAGTGGAAAGGGCAGCTTTATGTCATATACCACGCCTCCAGCGGTAATTCGTACGCTCGGACTATTGACAAGACGCTTCGCAAGGTTGGCTCCGAGCCAATCTTGCTGCATAAATCGAGCGGTAATGGTGAAGACGTCGGGCGTGTAGCGTCTCCTGAAATCGTCACCTTTGGTGACAAGACGTACCTGTTCTATGAATCTGGCGACAGGCTTGGAGCTACCATTGCGTGGGCGAAGAGAGTTTAGCCGCTAGCCTCTATCAGGAGTATTAGCAAGTATTGGGAAGTTCTCTTTCGGTATTGTTTTTTCTTCTCTACAGTTAAACGTTGCGGTCAGTCTTCGAATATAGACACGAACGACTGCCGGGTTTTATTATCTGGAGTGGATTCTCAATCGTCGTGTATTTACTACTTTTACTTATCTATAGCTAGTCGAGTGTGCTTGTTTGAAATCAAGATTCTTCTAGGACCAATCTATTATACTCCTATTACCTTCTCTCAAAACGAACAGTATTCTCTCGCTAGTGAAAAGAGAAGGGGTAGTAAGGAAAGATCTTTAATATTGCCAAGAGTAGTACTAACCTAAGGAGAAGATAAACATGCTCTAGACAGAGCTATCTCGGTAATCGCCTGGTAGAAATATCTCCTGCTCATAGATAAAAGCCTATATACAGTCTTTATATTATACTCTGTATTATTGTATACTGGAACCGCTGTATATCTTGGGACTCGAATAATATAACAAATAAACAAACCAGTTTAGCAGCTGTATCTAAGACTGCTTGTAATGCCTGCAAGCTTAGTATTTGTATTATGCTAGTAGGAGGCGCTATATTATTAGGTAAGACTCTGATTGAAACTTTCGAAATTTCTCTCCCTATTTTTTTTTAATATACAGCAGCTGGATCAGTCGCTCAATATTGTATTATTTCTAGATATACCGAGTAGATCATATATAATTAATATAAAGATATCAGACCCAATATCCCAATATAATAAATACCAAAGGTTGAAAGAAATTAGCTCTTTTAGCCTAAGGCTAGGGCGATGTAAAAAGAACTCTATAACCTTCTTACTAATAATCTCGGGTTTATTCTCTTAGCCAACACCGATCTAGAACAAGTACAAGGTGAAAATCTGGGAGTCTACCGATTTAAGCGCGTGTTTATTGTCTTCATATTATATAAGTTCCTCGCCGAGCGCGATCCTGCCTGTGCTATCTCCTTCTTTGTCTCCCTTTGTTTTCTTCTTTGTTTAAAAGACAACGCGATATCATTGTTAGCGATAAGCTTTCCGCCACTCGACTAGGCCCGATAGGCCGTTTGTCTCATCACATGCTCAAAAACTCAGATCTGATTCTAGGCCCGACCTCTGATATTTTCAAAAACCTCTTTCTGCAGCATTTGAGTATAACAAGAGATGATTTTCGGACCATACTGCGCACCTACTAGTATCGCCGTTCGTGAGTTGTAATATATGTCTCTTGGGGCGTTCTCGGCTGACGGATCAAAATTCACTAGATGAGTAAATCAAGTGTCCAAACAGAAATTATGGAATCAACAGCCGAGGAGAAGGATGTGCTTCCACAAGAATCGGCTGCAAACTTGACTCCGGTGTTTGTCTACGGTACCCTTTGCGCCGTTCCTCTTCTTGCGTGGGCTTTGATGGGTGACGCCTCCCAAACTGATGCCGTCAAGAAGCTCATCCGCCCTGCAAGAGTTGAAGGGTTCGCTCGATATGGCATCAAGAGCTGCGACTATCCCGCTGCTGTAAAATGCGACGGGTCAGAGATTCGTGGTTACCTCGTCACATTTACCAACTCATCCCAGCGTAAGAAATTGGATGATTTTGAGGGAGAGATCTATAGCCCGACACACCTTACGGCTCAAGTTTTGAATCAAAATGGAGAACCTTCCAGCCAATGTGTTGATGCAGAGATATATCTATGGAATGGTTCACTGGAAAATCTCACTATGGAGCCTTGGGACCTGGAAGGTTTCATCGAGGAGAGACTAGAAGATTGGCTAGACTTATTTGATGGGATGGAGCTGGTGGGATAATCACTGATGATAATTAAAACCGTGTTCTAGCGGACCTCTATGAAATATATCCCTTATCGCCTAAACCCAACCTTCGAGGCAATTAAGAAGATCCTCGACATTATCTCCTCTTCCTGTAAGCTGGTCGATGTTGCAAGCAATTGCATATTCAACAATTTTGCGCACGAGTTCGATCCAGGACACCATGGCATCTGTACTTGTCGTTCCCTGATGTTGGCGGAATTCTAGAGTTCCATGCTTCAACAAGGATGTAAAATTCACCTTTGTCTTGTCAGGAAGCTTTTTCTAGGTTTGTTGTACCAGCAGTCAGATGAGAATTACCTTTAGCCATCGTAAGTGGCGCTGTCTGAATCGTAGTTGGCAATGCGGCAAATACTCTCCAGATTCTGTGCACTTCTGATCATGGAATTCACAGTGTCGTTATCTTTGTCTGCGAGAAGATCATTCTTTCGGACGGACATAATATTGTCATTGTCCACAATCCTATGCCCAGGGTGGTAATGATCAATTGCGCCTAAGAGTAAATATATCTTAGCATTAGTTATACACTCTATTATGAGCTCTGAGTGAAAGTTTCCTACTCTCAAATCGGCAATAAAAAATTGCTATTCGTTGTATTTCATCCAGGGAGAACTTGGCGCCACCGAGGCCACGTCCAATATGGACATGAAATCCAGTGCTGCGATTGGCAGACCAGAAAACACACTTCCCAATGGCATCAACACCGCGCTCAAGATTTCGCTTCTAGCGGCGCGTATTCGCAGCATCAAAGATAGGTGTTATGACTTCAAAACCAAAGCGATTCTGGAATGCTTGGGAATCAGCGCTCGAATCAGACGTCACTTCAGCTAAAGTCGCGTCACAAGTGACATTCCAAATGGTATGATCAGGCCCGGAATTCCGAGCAGAGGTAGGGAAATAGGCACAAGATCGGAGGCCAGATTTCTTCAATGCGTCAACAAGAAGACCGATCTGTTCCTCTGAAGCCGCAGGGAATGGTTCAGATGAGCCGACTCTTTCGAGAGCAATTCCCTCAATCTCTACACCAACGGACAAAGACATAGTTAGAAGCGGATATTCCAAGTCAAGAATTCAGTACAGTGCAGCCAGAAAATTCACTGAAGAGGTGGAAAAGGGTGGTGCAAATTATCTAGGTCTAAGTGTCAGCTCTCATAGTAGCAGCTTACGCTAATAACGTTTAGATATACGGGGTAGGAGCCTTCTGCTATCTGAAGTATATGAGAGATTCCGAGGTCAAAGCTTAAAGAAGAGTGGAAGATACTAGAGCCCAAGTATCAATATAATGAATACGAAAGCTTGAAAAGGAAAACAAGCTATCTTATGTAACTTTATAGTAGTAAGTGAGAGAGCTATACTGTTATCCAGAGCTGCTGATAAGGAAGAGGGAAAGTCCCAAACACTAAGAATTTAACAACTTGACACCATACCCAGTATCACAACATATTAAACTTCGGCATTTTTGCCCGGCTACGAGGCTTGTGCCTGGCTGTATATCAGGTTTAATACTAACCTGATGTAACTTTATAAGCGTGGACAGAATAAATTTGACCTACCCAGAGTATCTACAAGGAAATTATCCCGCGATTTGTCTTCTGCGAGCTCTATGCACGCATTTTGACAAGAATGCTGAATGTTTGTAGTCCTTGCAGCGGATAGACACGGTGCGAGATATATAGGTTCCGATATAGGTCTTTCTTCCACGACAGCTTCTCCGTGCTGGACACTATCACCGTCTTAACCGCTATCGTCTTGACCGCCATGCAGGTCGAGCGAGCAATCTCACTGCTAAAAGTGACTTCAGGGGTTTTCAATCAGTATCTCATGGTTTCACCGAAACTCCCTCATAGCTTCTCTCATAATACAAAAGCTGTTTCCCATTTATACTCGATGATCTTGTTCTTCAAGCAGGGGTGGTATGTGATATAAGATCATGGGGTTGCCAGACTTGCAGTAATTGTTTGTTTTAATAGAAAATAGGCTATAAGGTTATAGGGGTTATTAGTAGATAGAATAGTTTTTCTAATTAGAGCTTCTTTAAATATATATTAGAATCTAGATTTTACTATATTTTAAAATAAACTAAATATTAAAAGTAAATATAATAAATAATATATTATTTATTTTAAGAGAAAGTAATAAAACTAGAATAATATATTAAGTTTAAAAAATATTTATTTTAAATAAATATATTTAACTAGCTATATATATATAAAAATAATTAATTATATATATATATTTTTTTTATTAGTTTTACTATAAATAAGAATATATTCTAAGATTAGATAATATATAACTAGATTATATAATTTTTCTAAAAATATAATTAATAGTTTATATTTAAATCTTTAATATTATAAAATAAAATTAAAATTAAATACTTTTAGTCTAAATATAGATATTAATACTTTAAAAACTCTAATAATAGGAGCTATTTATATAACTAGATATATAAATAGTCTAACTATAGCTATAGCTCCTAAGAGAAGAAGCTTATTATCTAATAATAATAATTATCTTTTTTTTCTAATTTAAAGCTTATTTTAATTAATTAATTAATTAATTATATTATTAATACTAAGTATCTATAATATATTATCTTCTATAATTATTTCTATTTATAGAGCTTTAATTACTATAAATAATATAAATCTTAATAAGATAATAGAGATTATAAGAGATAATAATATATAGCTCTTAACTAAGTATATCTAATATATATTTCTCTAAATAATTAAGAGTTTACTTATAATAATAAAACTATTAATAATATTCTAGATCTAGTAATTATATCTACTAGATCTATTTTTATATTATATAGTCTATAGCTACTATATACTATTAGTACTTAAAATAGATAAAATATAACTAGATTAAAAGTTATATCTTAATTATAGCTATCTATTTATTTATATATATTATAATCTAAGGTTTTTTTTATAGTTCTAGTATATTTTATACTATTTTAAACTAATTAGAATAAAAATAGTTTTTAAGAATTAATTAAAATTAAGCTTTTTTTATTTTAAAATAATATAGTTTAGATTAAAATATATTAGAGTTTATTTTAATTTAATTTAAAATTATATATATTTAGAAATAAAAAAGTTAGTTACTTTTAAGATTATATATTAATTTATCTTTATAAGTATAATATATATTTATTACTATAGAAAATTTTTATTAGAAATAATATAGATTTAATATTAATCTAATATCTATTTATATATATTTAGTTATATTATATAATATAATTATATATATATTTAGTATTTAGTTAAGAATTTCTATAATTTTAGTTTTTAGAATTCTATATTAGATATAATAATATTAGAGATAGTTATTAATTTATAGAGATATAATACTATACTATTTATATAATATACTACTATATTTAATATCTATATCTTAGATATATATATATAATATTATTATACTCTAGTATTACTAATAATAGTACTAATAGAATAAAAAAACCTTTTAGTAATATTATAATTTACTTAGCTATAATTTTTAAATATATATAATTATTTTTATTCTACTTTATTCTATTAATAGTAACTCTTAGTATATTATATAGTTTATTATATTTAATACTATTATAATAATATAAGATTTATAAAACTAATAAATCTCTTATTTACTTTAAAAGCTTTAAATTATAATTATTTATTAGAAATTTAGCTAATAATTTATAAAATAGCTTTAGAGTTTTAAATAAATTTAATAACTTTAATTAAATCTTTCTTATATATTAATATTCTTAGATTAAGCTATTTAAGTAAATCTATCTATATATATTATTATTAATCTTAGATAGAAATATCTAAACTATTTAGTTTAAAATTAAAAAGCTTTTTTATATTTAGAATATATATATTATACTCTATATTATAGCTATCTTTATTATCTCTATTATTATTACTACTATTAATATCTCTACTTCTTTTAAGTATAATTAAGCTAGAACTATATTCTTTAGCTATTATTCTAAAGTTATATATTTTTATAATAAATTTAGTTAATTACTATTATAAATTATTTTATAATTTCTCTAAAGAATACTAACTTAGATAGAGATAGAGATAGTCTATATATAATATAATACTATAATTATTATAATAATATTTTATATATAATAACTTATTATAATAATTATAGTATAGTTTTATTATAATAGAGTTTATAGAATCTATTATAAATATAGATTACTTAGTATATATTTAAATACTTAAAAAATAATAGTTTAGAAAAAAAATATTTATATTAATAATATAAACTATATAAATTAAAATAGAGTAATATATATACTAATATCTATTTTAATTTAGTTTTTTAAAATAATTAAAATAATTATTAATATCTATAGTATTATTAGTATTAGATATAATAATAAGACTTCTAATAGTTTATTTATTTTATTTATTTTAAATAAGCCTTTTCCTAATAAAGTTATCTTTAGTATTATTACTATCTAGATTAATTATTCTACTCTCTAAGTATTTATTATTAATTATAACTATAATTAATATATCTATAGTTATATTCTTTAAAAACTAACTCTTATTATATCTAAAGTTTATCTTTTTATAATTAATATTTAGCTTTAATCTTAATTTAGTAGATTATAATAAGTTTAATATATAGTTTTATTTTTAATATAATTTAAAATACTTTACTATTATTAATAATATCTAGTTTTTAAATATTTTATTAGAAGTAAGAGATAGAAGTTATATATTTACTACTTAAGATTAGAATTATTTATTACTAAATATATAAATAGATTAGAATATATTAAGTTTCTTATTCTATAGTTTTAAATATTAATATTATAAATAGCTTCTATCTTATAATACTATATATATTTTACTAGAAGTTTAATATTATTACTAATAATATAAACTAGAAAGATTAAAAAGATTTAAATAAATTTCTTATTATATAAATCTAAATAGTAAATAACTATTATTATATCTATA